ATGCAAGGCATACTAGTTTAAGTTCAGTTGAAAATAGATTGAAGTGAATAACATATCATTTGGCCATTTGTAGGTAATAGCCATCTCCTTCCCTTCTGAGTTATTAATAGTAACCGAGAAATAGCATAAAGAAGCTGTTAATATTCTTATAATTGCATTCATTAGTTTCTGTTTAGAGAGGTGACATGTACCTGATGTTTACCTGTATCTCACATGTCAATTAGAGACGTGTCTACAATGACAGTCAATACTTAGTATTGCAATGACCTCATGGTTATCTATCTTACTACCGCTCTTCTGTGGTGAAGTCAAGGAATCTCTAAATTCATGCAAGATTTCTGGGGCATAAATAGGATTTTTTGATATTTTCATGAGTGCAAAGCATATACATATCACTTTTATTAGCTCACCTGAGCTGAAAGCTCAAGTGAGCTTTTCTGATCACCCGTTGTCCGTCGTCCGTCCGTCCGTCTGTAAACTTTTCACATTTTCAACTTCTTCTCAAGAACCACTGGGCCAATTGTAACCAAACTTGGTACAAAGCATCCTTGGGTGAAGGGGAGTATAAATTGTTGAAATGAAGGGCCAAGTCCCCTTCAAAAGGGAAATAATCAAGAAAATACAAAAATTGGGTGGGGTCATTAAAAAATCTTCTTCTCAAGAACCATTGGGCCAGAAAAGCTGAAACTTATGTGGAAGCATCCTGGGATAGTGTAGATTCTAAATTGTTCAAATCATGGCCCCCCGAGGATAGGGCGGGGCCACAATAGGGAATCCAAGTTTTACATTGAAATATGTAGTAAAAATCTTTAAAAATCTTCTTCTCAAGAACTACTGTGCCAGAAAAGGTGAAACTTATGTGGAAGCATCCTTGGGTAGTGTAGATTTTAAATTGTTCAAATCATGACCCCCGGGGGTAAGGCGGGGCCACAATAGGGAATCCAAGTTTTACATTGAAATATGTAATAATTATCTTTAAAAATCTTCATCTCAAGAACCACTTAGCCAGAAAGGCTGAAACTTATGTGGAAGCATTCTGGGTTAGTGTAGATTCTAAATTGTTCAAATCATGACCCCGGGGGGTAGGGCGGGGCCACAATAGGGAATCCAAGTTTTACCTTGAAATATGTAATAAAAATCTTTAAAAATCTTCTTCTCAAGAACCACTTAGCCAGAAAGGCTGAAACTTATGTGGAAGCATCCTTGGGTAGTGTAGATTTTAAATTGTTCAAATCATGACCCCCAGGGGTAGGGCGGGGCCACAATAGGGAATCCAAGTTTAACATTGAAATATATAGTAAAAATCTTTAAAAATCTTCTTCTCAAGAACCAATGAGCCAGAAAAGGTGAAACTTATGTGGAAGCATTCTGGGTTAGTGTAGATTCTAAATTGTTCAAATCATGACCCCGGGGGGTAGGGCGGGGCCACAATAGGGAATCCAAGTTTTACCTTGAAATATGTAATAAAAATCTTTAAAAATCTTCTTCTCAAGAACCACTTAGCCAGAAAGGCTGAAACTTATGTGGAAGCATCCGTGGGTTAGTGTAGATTCTAAATTGTTCAAATCATGACCCCCAGGGGTAGGGCGGGGGGCCACAATAGGGAATCCAAGTTTTACATTGAAATATGTAATAAAGATCTTTATAAATCTTCTTCTCAAGAACCACTTAGCCAGAAAAGGTGAAACTTATGCGGAAGCATCCTTAGATAGTGTAGATTCTAAATTGTTCAAATCATGACCCCGGGGGGGGGGGGGGGGGGGGTAGGGCGGGGCCACAATAGGGAATCCAAGTTTTACATTGAAATATGTAATAAAGATCTTTAAAAATCTTCTTCTCAAGAACCACTTAGCCAGAAAAGGTGAAACTTATGTGGAAGCATTCTGGGTTAGTGTAGATTCTAAATTGTTCAAATCATGACCCCGGGGGGTAGGGCGGGGCCACAATAGGGAATCCAAGTTTTACATTGAAATATGTAATAAAGATCTTTAAAAATCTTCTTCTCAAGAACCACTTAGCCAGAAAGGCTGAAACTTATGTGGAAGCATTCTGGGTTAGTGTAGATTCTAAATTGTTCAAATCATGGCCCCCGAGGATAGGGCGGGGCCACAATAGGGAATCCAAGTTTTACATTGAAATATGTAGTAAAAATCTTTAAAAATCTTCTTCTCAAGAACTACTGTGCCAGAAAAAGTGAAACTTATGTGGAAGCATCCTTGGGTAGTGTAGATTCTAAATTGTTCAAATCATGACCCCCGGGGGTAGGGCGGGGCCACAATAGGGAATCCAAGTTTTACATTGAAATATGTAATAAAGATCTTTAAAAATCTTCTTCTCAAGAACCACTTAGCCAGAAAAGGTGAAACTTATGTGGAAGCATTCTGGGTTAGTGTAGATTCTAAATTGTTCAAATCATGACCCCGGGGGGTAGGGCGGGGCCACAATAGGGAATCCAAGTTTTACCTTGAAATATGTAATAAAAATCTTTAAAAATCTTCTTCTCAAGAACCACTTAGCCAGAAAAGGTGAAACTTATGTGGAAGCATCCTTAGATAGTGTAGATTCTAAATTGTTCAAATCATGACCCCCGGGGGGGGGGGGGGGGTAGGGCGGGGCCACAATAGGGAATCCAAGTTTTACATTGAAATATGTAGTAAAAATCTTTAAAAATCTTCTTCTCAAGAACTACTGTGCCAGAAAAAGTGAAACTTATGTGGAAGCATCCTTGGGTAGTGTAGATTCTAAATTGTTCAAATCATGACCCCCGGGGGTAGGGCGGGGCCACAATAGGGAATCCAAGTTTTACCTTGAAATATGTAATAAAAATCTTTAAAAATCTTCTTCTCAAGAACCACTTAGCCAGAAAGGCTGAAACTTATGTGGAAGCATCCTTGGGTAGTGTAGATTTTAAATTGTTCAAATCATGACCCCCAGGGGTAGGGCGGGGCCACAATAGGGAATCCAAGTTTAACATTGAAATATATAGTAAAAATCTTTAAAAATCTTCTTCTCAAGAACCAATGAGCCAGAAAAGGTGAAACTTATGTGGAAGCATCCTTAGATAGTGTAGATTCTAAATTGTTCAAATCATGACCCCCGGGGGGGGGGGGGGGGGGGGGGTAGGGCGGGGCCACAATAGGGAATCCAAGTTTTACATTGAAATATGTAGTAAAAATCTTTAAAAATCTTCTTCTCAAGAACTACTGTGCCAGAAAAAGTGAAACTTATGTGGAAGCATCCTTGGGTAGTGTAGATTCTAAATTGTTCAAATCATGACCCCCGGGGGTAGGGCGGGGCCACAATAGGGAATCCAAGTTTTACATTGAAATATGTAGTAAAAATCTTTAAAAATCTTCTTCTCAAGAACTACTGTGCCAGAAAAGGTGAAACTTATGTGGAAGCATCCTTGGGTAGTGTAGATTCTAAATTGTTCAAATCATGACCCCCGGGGGTAGGGCGGGGCCACAATAGGGAATCCAAGTTTTACATTGAAATATGTAATAAAGATCTTTAAAAATCTTCTTCTCAAGAACCACTTAGCCAGAAAAGGTGAAACTTATGTGGAAGCATTCTGGGTTAGTGTAGATTCTAAATTGTTCAAATCATGACCCCGGGGGGTAGGGCGGGGCCACAATAAGTACTACAAGGGGGTGAAATCAGGTGAAAAACAGCAAGGCCAAAGTTTCTCAGGTGCGCGTTGTGGCCCATGGGCCTCTTGTTCAATAAATAAATCACATATTTCACTCTTGAAAATGTAATAACATTGTTTATGCTTGTGACAATCAAATGAAACTGCCAATTTCTTCCCAAGTATGTTGCTAAAATCCATTGAATATCCTCTATTTATGCTAGTGACATTTGAATGATTCGAACAATCAGTATGGAGAAAGTACATGTACAATGTATTGTTGAGGGTTGATATCAAATAGTAGGTTGTCTAATTAGGAATATTTAGAGAAAATAACTAAAACAAAAATTGGACAAGTCCCCATTGGTGCCCTGCAGTCAGTCTGTTCTGAACTGTTCAGTTGTTTAGTCCCAGTCTATTCCTCTCTTGTTAGCATTATACTAAGCCTTACCATGTGATTTTCAGATTATTATGTGTATTGGTTAAAACCATGTAGTTTATTTGTAACAATGTAAACTTGAATGGTATATTTTTTTTCTATGATTTAAAGTTAACTTCCTTGTGGTCGTTTTACAATGAACTGCTAAGTGTAAACAAAGAATGAGCTGCTAAGTGTAAACAAAAAAGACGGTCCCTGAAACTTCACAAATGAATAACTGAACATATGAATAAACATTCCTCCACAGGATATAAAGTATACTCTTGCGAGCATGTAAACTCATTAAAACAGCAGCCTTTTCATTTAAAAGTAAATTATTGGCTGTGGTCCAGCGTACATATGTCTCAAATCCACTGCTACAGAAATTGTTATGTCCAACATAACAATCTTTGCTGATAGTTTTCTGTTGAGCTATTTTTGTTCAGTTAGTTTACAAGTACTTCTGATTTATTCTTTCTTCATCAGTGTTGCATAGGCCCAGTCCAATAAGTGGGTCATGATTGGACTTTGAGTAAAGTTGTAAAACCTATCTAATATTTGATTAAATTGATTTAAGAATGTAAATTTATTATCACCCATCTGATAGCCACCTAAAATGAAAATGTGGTTGAAGTTTTATTAGATCAGATAATGTTATAAATTTTTAACATATGATTTCTCAGAGACTGCAGAAAGTCTAGCAGTTGTGTATTGCACACAATAGATCTAGGTTTTCCTGATCTTGGCATAAAGTTACTGAAATAGAAGCAGTATATTATAAAGCAGCAAATAGAAATACCATCAATATATCTATGTGCTCTCCAATGACTACCTCCAGGGAAGGGTAGTGTTATACTCTACTGGAACACAGGTACCTTCACAGAGAAGTGTTGTAGGTGATAGAATATCAGTCTCCTACTTATGTAACTGACTTTGTTATTTTTTTTTTATCAGATATATCCAGGAATCATACAGAATCATTTGAATTAGCTGAATGTTGAAACTACGTATTTTGTCCTGTCGTTCGCTCAAACAGCCGTAGAAAAGCAACACACACTGGAGACTGCAGCAAGGTAAGAGTTCTCTTCTCTTGTATTTACAACTGGGAATTTGCTTCATACAATGGAACAGATTGATTTTGTGATTTAACAATCTTTTAACAATTCCATGCGTATCAAAATTTTGATAGTATATTTAATATTTTGCTAATATTATCACTTTGTCTGAAAGAATCACCGACAATATTGCACTGTGATTTTTTTTTACTGTCTCATTAAATATGATGTAATTTTTGAAAAGTATTTAGATTATTGGTAAATATAAAACAAAATAAATTTCATCAGTGATAATATAGTCCCATGACTAAAGTTTCAAGTGGAAAGCTTCAATAGAATATTTAAGAAGAATTAAAATGGGTTTTTTTTTATGATTTTAGTTGATTTTTAGGACCATTTTGTAATATAGAGTTAAAAAAAAACTTTTTAAAAAATTTAGATCTATTAAGGAATTGTCCACAGTTTTTCATTGTTAAACTTTGGTGAATTTAAATTGATGAATTAATTGATTTTTACTTAAAATAACCAATTCATCAGCCCACAACTAATATTTACTGCTTATTGGAACCCCTTTCTGTGGGCACCTTACAGTGATCAATCGGGGGCTCTGCCTGTCCATCAAATACAACTCTTCCAGAGTATATTTTCTTTCCCCTTGACCCAACCTGGCTCTTTCTTCACTCATACAGTACCCTTGGGTTAAAAGTTATGCAGTAAAGGTTTTATATAAAAGTTCAAGGTCAAAATAAGCCCCATTGTAAAATTCTTGTTTGGAGCATATTTTCTTTACCCAATGGCCCAATACAGCTTATTCTTCACCAATAGAGTGTCTTTGGATAAGGGGTTTGCAGTGAACTTGAACATATTTTTAGGTCAGAGGTCACAGTCAAAGTAAAATCCTTGTCTGGACTATACCCTTGGACCAGTTTGGCTCATATTCCATAGTGGTCTTGGTCTAAATTTCCATGTCAATGTCAAAATAAGTCTCTATATAGACCATATTTCTTTTCTCTTGGCCCAATCTGGCTAAAATTTCGTTAAAGAGTGCCCTTGGATAAAGTGAGTGCAGTGTCCTTGAGCCAATTTTTAAAGTCAGAGGTGAAGGTTAAAGCAGATTTCATTGTAAAGTCATCTGGAGTATGATTTCTGTCTTTAGACAAGTTGGACACACACTTCATCCACATAAACTAAATGAAATTCTTTTCCTTTGACCTAAATGAAAAATTTTCTGAGTATTTTTAAGTTTTCCAAAAGTTCCCTTTACCCTTATGTCCTCAAACATAAAATATAAAAGTTAGCTTCTTGTGATAATTATTATCTCATTATGTAATTCTAATCTATTGTTATTTTTTGGGGTAGTGTTGGGTGTCCTTCTTCCAGTTTAGTTGCATTAAAGCAAAAATTTTAAGCAATTTCTTAAAAATATGGCATATTGATAACGATCTTCATGTAAACATTATTATTTTTCACAGTGTACTCTTATATTACTTAGACTTTTGCTTATTTTAGATTTTGCAGTATATATTTGTTAATAACTCAGCAACCACTGGTGTACTTTTGTTGAATGTAAGTGAATTGGGTAGAATCACCAGGAATGGTTAATTGACTTTTTCTGGAAAATATATTATGATAAGAATAAAAGATATGTAATTCATGGAGACTTTAATAGTCCAATAATATGAAGTATAAAAATTTGATCGATATCAAAACAATTAAATTTAGGTAGAGTACAAAAGAAAAATGTACATAAAAACTTACATTTTTCTCATTATATATTAAACCTATGGAAATTTACTGCAAATTTACTCATTTCAATTTAATTATTTTTCAAATGTGGTTTTGTGAAATTAACATAAAGATTATACCAGTATGACACTTTTCTGAATGAAAGGAACTACTCAAGTTGTTTTCTCTCCTTAGTATCAGAAAATTGTGTAGTAGAATGTCCTTAGTATCGAAAGATTATGTTAGAATGTCTTTAGTATCAGAAAAATGTGTGTTAGAATGTCATTAGTATCAGATAAGGCCTAGGTTGTCCTGTCAGTTATAGTACAGAGTCTTCTAGGTAAATGGTCCATCAGTCAGCCAGGAATCTATTGTAGCACTACCAGTACATTCTGTATGCTGCATTATATACTGATGTGTCATTCAATGGTATGCTCTGCAGTGCATCACTTCTTGAAGGGCCCCTGTACTGATTTGATTGCAGTCTGATTGTTAGAGGAAAACACAAATATCTTCAAGAAAATGACATAAGGTGATGGCTTGAGCAAGTTCCCTTTGTCATTTTGTAGATAATGCTTTGATTTGAATGTTAACACTAATTAATATTACCAAGTGTCTGTCAGAATGTTAACACTAATTAATATTACCAAGTGTCTGTCAGACTTACACATGTATGTAGGACTTCCCAGCAGTAATGTTTAGTAGGGCCCTCAGTAGTAATTCTATGAAGGAAAACCATATAGTAATTTTACTAAGGACCACTTTTAGTTACCGGTATGTTATGTAGGACCATCATCAGTAATGTTCAATAGGATCACTAGCAGAAATGCTATGTAGGACTGTCATCAGGAATGTTTATATGTAGGATCACTGCATGCAACATTATGTAGGATCACATCCTGTAGTGTTAGGTCTAAAAAAAATTGTTTGTTTCCTGTAACCTGACCGACCCATTCAAATTACCCCCAGGTGGATTTTTTGTGTCTGATCAGTCAGCTGATTCAATTTATACAAAAATGTTAATTGTAGCTTTATTTGAGGTATAAATATGTCAAAATAGTCAACATTAACTTTAAATATAAAGACATCATTTTTTAACATCAAGCATTTCCCCCACAACTATTTGAAGTTCATTTTCTGCCGCTAGATGGCCATGTTGGGTGTCCGCTGTAAATATCACACCTGGTTAATTCAGTCCGGGGATGTTTGACCCCTTTCATAAGCAAAAAAAAAAAAAAATCCCGACCTACCGACCCTTGATTTTTTGGGAATGTTACAGGAAACAAACATAATTTTTTTTTAGGCCTTATGTAGGAACACCACCAGTAAAGTAATGTAGGATTACCCCCATTATAGTTATGTGAGAAAACCTACTGAAATATTATGTAGGATCACCTCCTGAAATATTATGTAGAATTACCACCTATAATGTTATGCAGGATTACCAATTGTAATATTATGTAGGATTACCATCTGTAATGTTATGTAGGATCACCACATGTAATGATATCTAGGATCACTGCTTTAAATATTATGTAAGATCAACTCCTGTAAATATAGGATCACCATTTGTAATGTAATGTAGAATTGTCACCTGTAATGGTATGTAGGATCACTACCTGTAATGTTATGAAGGATCATCTGTTATGTTATGTAGGCTCACACCTTGTAATGTAATGTAGGATCACCACCTGTAATGCTAAATAGGATCACCATCTGTAATGTATGTAGGATCACCAGCTGTAATATTTGTAGGATTACCAGCTGTTCTGTTTGTAGGATTACCACCTGTAATGTTATGTAGGATCACCTCCTGTAATGTTATGTAGGATCACCACCTGTAATGTCATGTAGGATCACCTCCTGTAATGTCATGTAGGATCACCACCTGTAATGTCATGTAGGATCACCTCCTATAATGTTATGTAGGATCACCAGCAGTAATACATGTAGGATCACCAGTTGTAATATTTGTAGGATTACTAGCTGTACTGTTTGTAGGATTACCACCTGTAATGTTATGTAGGATCACCAGCTGTAATGTTATGTAGGATTACCACCTGTAATGTTATGTAGGATCACCACCTGTAATGTTATGTGGGATTACCACCTGTAATGTTATGTAGGATCACCACCTGTAATTTTATGTAGGATTACCACCTGTAATGTTATGCAGGATCACTAGCTGTAATGTTTATAGGATCATCACCTGTAATGCTATGTATGATCACCACCTGTAATGTTATGTATGATCACCACCTGTAATGTTATGTAGGATTACCACCTATAATGTTATATAGGATCACCTCCTGTAATGTTATGTAGGAACACTACCTGGTATATAGGACCACTTCTGTGTCTTTAGGACCTTCATAAGTAATTTCATGTAGGACCATTATCAGGCATTATCCATTGTACAGTAAAACTCAGTAATAATGAGGTCACACAGATATTGAATTTTGCTTCCTTATAACTGATATTCTTTATATCAATGTAAGGAACATAGTGAAAAGAAGTCTCTGGGATCTGTAAAAAATTTCTTTTTACTAAGATTTTAATATAAGTGATTCTTATAAGCAATTTGTATAAGTTCTGTATAACCGAGTTTGACTGTATTTAGTAATGTTATTATGTCTCTACAGCACTATGAAGCTTTGAATTTGACTTCCTTATATATTCCGAATCATATAATTGATTTGATTAGACCAAACACAGATAATCTTGAGATTGATTAGACCAAACAAATATAAAGAAAATCTGGAGAAAGACAGCATTTTTTTTTTTCTTCTTCTATTTGTCCAACATCAGATGCAGAAGATCTTAAGAACTTGAATACTGTTCATTATCTCCATATTTCAAGCAAATCATAACTTAAGTAAGTTGACATCATTGATTATTTGTCTGTGAGTTGTGCTGACATTTAGTTGGTGACTAGAAGGATTTAGGACTTCAAAACATTCAGCATATTTTCTGATAAATGCTGCCAGTGTGTTGGCACATTCTCATTCAAAGGGCCTTTAGAACACAAACTGAAATAGAGTGGCATGGTTCTAAGATTATAAACTTCTATTGTTATTTGATCTACAGAGTTATTCAAGCAGGTCCAAAATAATATTTAGGTAATCTGGATTTCATAACATGCATTTAAAACTTGGCAATTTAATTCACACTCAGTGAAATATACTGATAACTTCATTCTTAAGAAGTTTTTAAATCATAAGAAAGATAAAATTCTGAGTTGTACCAACTGTTTTTAAGGCCAGAAGCTTTTAACTCCATTTATGTGTTTTTGAGCTAATCTGTTTGGATCTGAGGGTCACATTATAGAATGTTAAAGTGTTTCGGCTCAGTCAGAGTGGGTGACCTTGAGGGATGTAAATAAACACCAGGTCTTCTGGCCAGATAATGGGTTAAACATCCAAATATTATAGTGCTGTGGAAAACCCCGTTTCCAACTGTAGTGGTTTTGGAATTCTTTTTAGAGAAACATTTCTCTCCATTCTGTAGGAAAAGTCTGGGAAATCTCCAGTCTTATCTAACAAACCAGGTAAACATTCTTTTTCATTCATAAAGTCTGTTTTTAAGATTAAAGAGTCATCTGCATCCTACTGTCATGTTTGTTTATTTTTACAGCTTATCTTTAAAGCTTCCAAAAGAAAGAGTGCAGGAAACTGCAGTTGTGTTTTTGTAGGAATTCGGTGAGGGAATAAGATGATGCACGAGATAGCCGTTCTGATAACATTTCTTCCTTTTCTCTATTTTTCTTTACCTCTGCATTGTCACTGATTTTGGCATCAAGAATTATCTAGGGGGATGTAAATCTGCACAAACAGAAAAGTGGGTGTATATTATAAGCCTGATATCGGGATTCCTAACTGGTGGTTCAATACCAGAATAGCAGCTCAGAGATAAACAGGCCTGCAGATTTATAAAAATAATAGATTTTAGGCCAGTATTTAAGATCACACAAGTTGAAAATCAGAAATTGTTAAAATAAAGAAACAATAGAGAGAAAATGAAAAGTATTTGCCTACTCCTTATTTTTTCATGGTAGGTAGTTTTAATACTTTTAATAGTTATTCAAGAATTGGAAATCTTTAAAAAATTAATGTACTGTTTCAAAAAAAAAAAGGTTAATGAGAGTGTAGTGTGTATATATGCCAATAAATCGGTCATCTCTAATAGTAGACAATTTCACAGGTTTGTCTTGTCATTCATTTTCATATCGTGACATAACAAAAATATGTACAGAGTATTTTGTACAGGCTTACTGAGAGCGGTTGATGGATGGTCCGACTAAATCCTGTGAGTGCTGACTGTGACAGAAATAAGGTTCCATGTAGAAGGGGCACCTGCTAATTTGTACTGTTTTGTTTGTAGAATGCAGTACCAGTAGAGACTGAGGGGGGGACGAAATGAGAGTTAATGTAAAGGACGGATCTAGTGACTTGTATTCCACACAAGGCATTCACACAGCAGTAAGTGGAAAATCTGTTTATATAAATTAAAGAAGTATCTTCTCATGTAAATTTATATTCGTTATGTTGGTAAAATATTATGTATATATAAGGTCTGTACTCAGATGAATTTACCGGTATGTACAAATCAAGGTTTTTTCCTTGAAAAGCAATTACTAAATGAGGAAAAAAACCATAATGCTTATTAAGTTTATATTATTATATGTGAATTATCTGATATAGCTATGGTCTAATCATTAAAAATTGCAAAAACCTACTATCAGAAAGGATTAAATACTTCAATTTTATTCTAGCACTTGAGGAAATTGTTTTAATTTGTCATTTGGTAATTGATAGGTGAAATTACAAACTTTCTCTTTTCTACTGTAGAAATTATTTAGACTATAGAAATTATTCACAAGAATTTTGATTTCTAAAAGTGCAAGACCCTTTCTGCATACTATAAATGTCATGATAACCATTCTAAATATTTCAATGTTATGCACATTCTGTAATCAATAAGAAACTGACAGCGTGTAGACCTCTCCAAAAATATATTTACGTGGTAGTTATGGCAGGACTGATAGGAAAACCATGTCAGCTGTAGAGTGGGCAGATCACTCCTTTATTTATTAGTATTTTTTTTTCTTCAAGTGTCAGAGAAAAGTGAAAACCCTTATGCATATTTTCACTTAAAATTAGAATTTCTTTGCACTTCAAAGTTTGTTGATGTAAAAAGCTTGAAGTGTTAGAACTACAAACCAAAATACCTGTAATTTGTTTAGCTCATTTGAAATGCTTCTTAGAACATCAAGTACTCTATAAATTCTTCAGTTTTGTGACTCAGTGGATTTAGTACTGGTTTTTATAGGATGAAGTAAAATCTAACCTGCTGTGAATGAACTTTATAGTGAAGGTGATGGTCTTCAGTATGAGTTGTACTTTAGTATCATTAGCTACTTATATAAGAAAAACAGCAGTGATGATAGGGGAAAATGCTGAATTAGCATAGTTGATTACTTTATCAATGTTAGGGATATTTAAAAAATTGTTATTGACAAAAATGTCAATAGTTATGTAACAGACCTGCAATGCTCATTAGCAATAACAATTCTGAAAGTTATATGCTGATATGACAATAAAAATAATTGTTTGATTTCCATAGGTATATTGTCATGATCCACATAAACATTGTTTTATGCTATGTTGGTTATCAGTAGACCATGGCTAAAATTAGGAACACTACTTAAAGTGGTAGATAACTTGGTCAGAGTTTATCGTTTATTTTTGGATTTGTCATCAAACAGCTTGTCAGAAATATTCTCCGCTTTAACAGTTTGCTACTTTGACTTTTTTTTCAGTCAAAGACTGGAAATTTGACCATGTCGTCTGTGGACAAGATGAAAAAATTATTAAGTCCTGGCACAAGAAAAAAAGGACTAGGGAATATGAACAAGACGTTTGGCGTGCCGCTTGAGGAACTAATGAGCAGGGCCTCCTCGGGAATGACGGTGCCGTACATAGTCAGCAAAATCTGTGAACACATTCGAGATAAAGGTGTGTAACAACATAGACTAAACAAATATGTAGAACAGACTCAGATATCTAGAGTGCTGCATGCTCTGTAGATCAATATGACGACAATGTATATATATAACATTGTCCTGAAACTCTAGGTTTATGTTTATGGCAGCCAGAAGGAAAAGTACAAGGTCATAAATTTAAGTACAAAGTCATGAACTATCCCAATCTTGTTTACATTAGGGTATACTGTGCTGAAAATTGTAGGCAAAATAAAATTATTACACTTACTATGGTGCAGTAAATGTTTGTAAGAAATTTTGACACTGAAAAAAAAAAACAACATGGATTTCACATTTGTAATAAGATATTTGATGTGTTGAAAAGTTTAAAATTAAGTTTAAAAATACATTTAATGTGTTTCATGAAAAAGAGACCATTGTGACATGTTTCAGTAATGTATATACATATATGAAAAAATTCCTGACAATACGATTTTTTATTCATCTATGCTCTGCAGGATTTGAAGTGGAGGGAATTTTCCGAATTAATGGCAGTACCAGAATTGTGGAGAAGTACCGTACGAGTTTTGACATGCGAGGGGATGCAGACTTTTATGAAGAGGAAGATTTGATGGCAGTGGCAAGCTTACTCAAGTTATTTTTACGAGAAATTCCAGGTTCTTTGATTCCAGAGAATAAGACTCAGAGGTTCATAGCCATTCAAGAAGGTATTTAAAAATTGCACAAGACATTATGGATAAGATTACAATTTACAAAGATAGAACTAGTGAAAAAAAATCACTTTATATCTTTTTTAATATAAAATGTAAAATTTATTTTCTCTTTGAATGTCTAGTGGAGAATAAATTTGCTTTATGTCAAAATGTGTGTTTGTGACAGCTGTCTTAATGCATAAACATGTCCAAAAAAGAGAACTGGACACATTAAATGTGTCCAAAAAAGAGAACTGGACACGTTTCCAGTATATAGTCAGTTTCAGAGACTGCATGTTCAGATGTACATTATAATATTCATATTATCTAGTATTTTTATTGATCATTGCAAGTTGGACAGAGATAAAATGTACTACAATGTATAGCCTTTTCAATTCTCTATTAAGTTTCCACAAGGTCATAATTCCAGAGAATCTCAATTTCTATTCAATCTTGGGGTAGGAAATTACACGAATTTCTTGGATTACTATTGTATATGATATCTTAAATGTAATTTAAGTTGCTTTGTCAAATTTCCTGTGAAAATCTGTGATCGTGCACCAGCTGGCACATAGTGTAAATTAATCCCATAAAAAAAAGAGTATGTCTAAAGTACTTAAATGTAATGCCCTGAATATATTGAAATATTATTTAAATTCAAACATGATAGTTTGTGAATCTTTTTCACCCATGTCTTTCATCACCAACATTTTCAGTGTATGTATATGGGTGTTTGTGTTTGTTTTTTTTTGGGGGGGGGGGGGGGGGGGGGATAACTTTAATTTCAAATTATCGGTGTTGTCAATGAGTAACTGGTTAATCATCGTATGATGCAAGTATCGGTTAGTAAAACTGCTACTCAGTTACTTAGATATATTGAATTTTATAAAGTAAATTAGTAGGAATAATGTATTATTGTTTATAATGTCCCCGTTTCCTTTACCTTTATTTAACGTTAGTACAAGTATCAATCTAGGGTTTTACAAATGCGATCGATTTGTTTTGATTAGTATTTCACAGTTTATCTAATTGATGGCTTTGATTGCCAAGGTGTATACAAGAAGGCTTGATTTAATTTTAATAACCTCACATTAATTTTATAAACCTGTGCTCGTCCGCAGTACTAAATTAAAGAAGATGCCGCCACAAGCATGGAAATATTTAAAAAAAAATGGCTGAATTTAAATCCGTGAAGTGTAAATTTTGTAAAGGTGGAATTAACATACATGTACACGGGTGGGAAAATGCTTAACCACGTCAGACTGAAGTTTAACTGTGAAACCAGTGATATATAAAGCGCAAACCAGCCAACGATTATGGGGTGTTCGAGAAGAAATTTATTTAGAAGATATGATGTATTTGTAATTATAAGTAAAGTTCATATGCAGTGCATTTGTGTTTTGTATATACCGATATACAAATGATGTGTAACGAAATTACATACAATATATATTGCAGTTGAGTACATATATGTCGAACAAGAATGTTTCGATGTCTAAAGAAAAACCGTCCGAGTAACTGGTTACTTGATTGGAAAAGTAAACTTTTAACCAGTTTCTAAAAATCATCTGATTTGACGACACTACAAATTATACATCTTAACTGTCTTTTTGGGGCCCAATTTCCTCATATATCTATAAGTGTCCTGGGAACATCTGGATTGTATAATGAGTTTTCATATAAAGATAGAGAATTTTTGTGTTCTGAAATAATCATTAATGCTAAATGTTTCAGACATATGAATCACCTTTTGGGAAGGAAAAGAAAACCAATCCGCAGATTATATGATATGAAATTAGAGTCTAGATATCCATGGATTGCAGACAAATAAGAAATTTATGAAAATACAACATAATACAAGTTATATAAGGTTACAAAACAGTTAATATAAAATGAGGAATGTATTTCTTTATTTTCACAGAGTATCAAAATGACCCATCTGGTTGTATATCTGCCCTGAAGGCAGAACTCTCGGAGCTAGACGAGGTACGATATAATGTACTACGGTACCTGATCCGTTTCCTGGTGGTCGTGTCACAGTTTGAACGCACCAACAAAATGAGTCCAATGTCTCTAGCTATTGTGTTTGGACCAAACCTGTTCAGGTAATTCTGTTTTATTTAAAGAGAAATGATTTTCAAATTATGAAGAACTAGTGTACGATTCTTAGCATGATGTTTGTTAATTACATGGTACTTTCTAATTATTGTGTATTTTTACTGTGAGGTGTCCTAATGCTAATTCTTACTGTGATGTCTGTTAATTACAGGATACTTTCTAATTATTGTGTATTTTACTGTGAGGTGTCCTAATGCTAATTCTTAGTGTGATGTCTGTTAATTACATGATACTTTCTAATTATTGTGTATTTTTACTGTGAGGTGTCCTACTGGTAATTCTTAATGCGATACCTGTTATAATTACATGTTACCTGTTTTAATTATTGTCTACTTTTTGTAATATTCTGTTGGCTGTCTTACTGGTAATCACAGTAATTAGTGTTTGTCTTTGTATTAATGTCTGTGATAATGGTCTTACTTATTACATCAGATGTGGTCAGGGAATCGTAGGATTGAAAGACCAAGGGAAGATAAATCAGATTGTGTATAAATTCATCACACTGTATGATTCTCTGTTCAGAGAGGAAAATGAAATCTCTCCATATAATGAATGGGTAAGTGGGGAAATGTGTTTGAATAATATTTAACGATATATTTGTCTTGTGTGTGTGTGTATATATATATATATATATATATATATATATATATATATATATATATATATATATATATATATATATATATGTATATATATATATATATATATATATATATATTCTTAATTATTAATATAAGATATAATTTTTATGATATAGATGAATAAGTGATTTAAATATTTTTATTTTAGATTAAACAAAAACAGAAAGGCCCTCCTAGACCTCCCCCTCCCAAGCTCCATGTAGAGGAGTACAAACCAGTCCCTAAACCAAGGAACACAGTAAGTCTGACCCAAAGTCAGTCAAGGTGATTGTGTCAGAGGTGTCAAGGTCACAATAAATGACACCGAATCATCAGCAGTGTATGTGATGCACCATGCAGAATAAAACTGGATACTCTCTCTTTGGTCATGAGCTTTGTTAATATTTTTAGATACACTGTACTTTATATCCATCAATTTCTAATATTACCTTGTTGGTATGTCTGTAGGGAAGAATGGACCCCTATGACAGTTCCCCCTACCAAGAGATGGAGGAATTTGACCACAGCGAGGAATCATCTAGTAACACCCAGGGGCGGAGTCACAGTCCACGTTGTAGTGATGATGAAATTGCAGGCAGGGCCTCACCATTTATGCTTGACAGGTAAAACTAAACAACAAAGAATTAGTTTTCTTTCCTTTGTTTAATTTTTTGACATCTGGTTAAGTAATTGCATTAGTAGAACAATAATTAATATATTAAGTGTTTCTTAAATTGTTTATGCAATTACAGATGAAACCTATTACATTCTGTATAGAGAACAATTGACTTTGCTTTGTTTCTTGTTATGTCGAGCTTTTCTGTGTACACCTGGTTTATGTTTTACAATGTATTGGAGATTTCAGTGCAGTAAGCAGGTGGTTTGTTTTTCTTTCAGTGACGGTGGTTACAGCATCATAGAATCTCCATTACCATCAGCAAGAACGTCAGAGTAAGTCAAAATACCCCCACTGTATACAGGAGCTGCCAAACCCTGACATGATTGGTTTTGCACATGATAAAGAAACTTAAAAACAGAATCTTTTTTAACTCTTCTATTTAATTTAACCAGTCCAACTTTACTTTTTTCCTAGAATTCTTTTGAAGATTGTATTAAAATGTCATAAACATAGGAAGATAAAGATGTATGGTATCTTTTTACAGAGTGGTAGAGAATGTTATAGCCAAGTCTATAAAAGAGCACCTGTTTGGGGATGACATTAGTATGTGTGAAACCTTTGTTGAGGAGGAAGAGAGGTAAGGACAATACTCAGAATCTCTAGAAACCAATAGTGGTTAAAAGTTAAAGTAGATGTTTATTAAATCTGAATTAAACCTTTATCAAAATTACAAAAAAGAGATAATTTCAAAATAAGCACTATAATCACATTTTAAATTGAAATGGAACTGCAGGCTTGTCTAAATAGAATGATTTTGATAGCATTCGCTTTCACAAAAAAAAATTAATGACTTATTTGTAGCAAAGAAAATTTGGCGAACACAATACCAGTGAAAGACCGTATTAAGCAGTTTGAGTGTGGGACAGACCTCGCTGAAACACAGAAATCCTCTAAGTCTGTCAGGCAGTCTCCTACTGGACACGAATCCATGGACAACTCCCTGTCAAAGGTTAGTTCATGTAGATAGGCTATTGATATTTTATTTCTTTTATGTATCAGCTATTTATTTTGTCTGATGAACAGTTAATATTTTAAGTATTTCATCTGGTGAACAGTTAATATTTTATGTATTTCAATTTTATAGGGACAACAGAATGTGAAGATGAATGGATACAAACTTGAAGCAGATATAATCAGGTATGTAGAATTATAAATCTCAGATGAAGATTTAAATTATTCTGTAAGTTTAGGTACATGTACATGTATATGAATTTTTTTGAAAGCTTTTAAACAGTAGTTGAACAAGTGTTAATTGGTACATGTAATTTGATTTTAGTACAAAAGAAAATGACTTCAGTGGTGTACACAGAGAGGATGATTTTGAGAGTGTGAAGAGAGATTCTGGAACATTATCATCGGTAAGTTAAACATTTCTTCACAGTATTCTTATGGAGAAAGTTTTGCTATAGATTTCAATCATTTTTATGCCCTGCCATGAATATGGCCGGGGCATATAGTGTTTGTCATGTCCGTCTTCTGTCCTTCTGTCCTTCCGTCACACTTTGCGTTTAGCTCTGTTCAAAGCTCAGTTTCAAAGAAACTTATCCAAGATATTTTTATCAAAATTCATTTGCTGATAGATATTGATGAGAGCTATGCAACTGCTTCGACATTTTTTGACCTTGACCTTTCTTTTGACCTTGACCTCACTTTTCTTAAATTACTGTTTAGCTCAGTTGTAAAGATACCATTCAAGATAGTGTAATCAAACTTCATATGTTGATACATACTGATGTAAGTTATTCAACTGCATCAACATTTTTTGACCTTGACCTTTCTTTTGACCTTGACCTCACTTTTCTTAAATTACTGTTTAGCTCAGTTTTAAAGATACCATTCAAGATAGTGTAATCAAACTTCATATGTTGATACATACTGATGTAAGTTATTCAACTGCATCAACATTTTTTGACCTTGACCTTTCTTTTGACCTTGACCTCACTTTTCTTTAATTAGTGTTTAGCTCAGTTTTAATGAAACCATTCAAGATATTTTTAACAAACTTCATATGCTGATACATACTGATGAGAGCTATTCAACCGCATCAATATTTTTTACCTTGACCTTTCCTTTGACCTTGACCTCACTTTTCTTAAATAAGTTTTTAGCTCAGTCTTAAAGATACCATTCAAGATAGTGTTATCAAACTTCATATGCTGATACATACTGATGGGAACTATTCAACTGCATCAACATTTTTTGACCTTGAACTTTCATTTGACCTTGACCTCACTTTTCTTAAATTAGTGTCAAACTTTATATGCTGATACATACTGATGAGAGCTATTCAACTGCATCAATATTTTTTGACTTTGACCTTTCCTTTGACCTTGACCTCACTTTTCTTTAATTAGTGTTTAGCTCAGTTTTAAAACCATTCATAATATTTTTATCAAACTTCATATGCTAATACACACTGATGTAACCTTTTCAACTGCATAAACAATTTTTGACCTTGACCTTTCATTTGACTTTGACCTCACTTTTCTTAAATTTGTGTCAAACTTCATATGCTGATACATACTAATGTAAGCTATACAACTGCATCAATATTTTTTCACATTGACCTTTCCTTTGACCTTGACCTCACTTTTCTCAATTTATGTTAAAATGTTGCATTACTAATATACCCTCGGCAGGGCATTCATGTCCTATGGACATATTTCTAGTTTTTAGAAATTTTAATGAATCCCTTGGACAGAACAAAAGACTTGAGCCTATAGGGAAATTTGTGATTGTAATAAAAAAAAAATCTCAATCTTTTGTATTAATGTCCAAAGTGTCATGGTCAGGTTTGTCTGTTATGCCTGTTTAAGAAATGTGTACTTTTAGACAGAATTTAAAGGAAAAATTATTAAGCAGAGTTTCAACTTAGAGCAACCCTGCACAATGGATAAAAATGATGAGAAACTGGCTCACAACATGACTTGGTCTTCCCTTAGACTTGTTTTTAGTGCTGATCACATGTGTAGGAAGAATAGCTTGGTTATTTAGTCTCAAGAAACATCAGCAAGATGATTTTTTTTTACACAGTAACACATAGGATGAATCCCATTGGAACTACATTACTAACTTTTAGCATACCAAGATACTCCATTTCTCAAAATTTTGATATCATAAATTCAAGATAATAATTTGCTCATGGAGACTGCTTGTTCAGTGAGACAAAATTTGTTTTAGTAACTGTCTCAAAAATTTATGAAATGTGGTAGGATATAGCCAGAAAAGTATTGCCTTAAATTGTAAAAATATTTGTGTTTCTTTAAACTTTGAAGTTTAGTGTTCACATCATTTCTTCATAAGTGAGCACTGGATATTATTACATTGTTGGTATTAATACAGAATTTGCTCTCTATCATAGCTCCAGTTCAAGAAGCCTGCTGGTCCTAGAAATCGCCGTTCTCCAAGTAGACTGTCTCGTGGAAACTCTTTAGAAGAGAAAGATGACATCAAGGATGGAAACCACCAGTCCAGAAATGATAATGCTTCTGCAGAATTGGAGACCTCTTCACTTCCTGAAAGCAAACCAAGTCAGAAGGAGCCAGTACCCAAACCCCGTGTTGCCTTCCTAGAACTCACAAATCACACAGAGAACAAAAGTTCACCTGATGCCTCGCCCAACAATGCCAGGAAGCCATTTATTCCACCATTAGATCTGTCAACGCTTCATGAACATGTAGAAAGCTCGGGTCTGTACTTCTGATAAAACTCTATCATAATGATTGCCTACTACCAAGAAATTCCAATCAAGCTACAAGGAATTTGACTGAATCACAAGGAAAGCAAAAGTAATTGTAACTTTGATGTGATGTTTACTTTCAGATCCAATCCCAGCTGACAAGGGACAATCTGTCTCGTACCAGTTAGCTAAGTCCCATATCAACGGGGGAGGTACCTCGGACGTTGTCATCTCTCCTCGGAGTAACAAACTCATCAAAAGGAAATCCAAGTAAGGGAATTAACACTGAAAGGAGAGCATGTGATGCTAGCAAAATAAACAAAACGAGGTTTTCTGCAAGTTATGATAGGTTTAGTGCAAATTTACGTAGAAGCAGTTGCCTTTCAAATTAAGGTAGTTCGATCCTCAGGTTCTGAAAATGAGCTTTTAGGTAATTGAAAATGCTCACAAAATGTCTCTGATTTCATAGAGTAACATGAATTTACCCATGGTATTTCTTTAAAGTTCATCATTATAGTTAATTGTATTATATAGGGAATATTATCAGATCTCACATATATTTTCAGGAAATGCGAATAAAAACTTCAGCTATGCATGTTCTAATTGAAAATTGATCAACAAATATATTTTAGGATAAAAAAAATATAGGTATCCAGGCATTTGGAGAAAATTGCGTCTTTTTTATGCTTATGCAGTATTTTAGTTCTTCTATTTACTTCAATTGTTATAGTGTAAAAAGCTTCCGCTATCATTGCTAGACATCACAAATCATGTGTAATTTCATATCATGCAAATAAGCATTGGTATCTAATGATAGATTAAGGGAAATTCAATTTGTATAAAAAATGAATTTATTTTTGTCTTTTATGGGGTACAAATGTCAACTTTTTACAAGACCGTTTCTAAGACTCCTAAGAACCTAGAATCCTATTGAGATGCATAAAATGAAAATTGTTGCATGAAAAGATCCCAATTTCAAGCTTCACTTTGAGACTTTTTAAATAAAATTATAAGTTTAAGAGTTATCCTTCCTGGCTGAGGATGGGATATCCTTAAGAATTGGTGATATCAGAGTGTTATCAATATATATGCTTACTGTAGGTAATTTTAAAAAGACAAAAAAAATTATTATTATATTATTGGAAAAAAAGAAACTAAAACCATTTTCCTGAAAAATAACAACTGGATGACATATAGGACAATACATGTATATATATTTAATGTTTTACATTTTTAGCTCTACTGGTCAGAGACCAGAAGAGCTTATGCGATAGTAAGGTGTCCGGCGTCCGTCCGTCCGTCTGTCTGTCTGTCTGTCTGTCCGTCTGTCTGTAAACAATTTTTCAAAATGCTACTCCTCCTACAGTTTTGGTCTGATTTCAATATAACTTGGCACACAGGTAGACTACACTAAGATACATACTTTAGTGCATCGCTTTTTGATTTGGATGAGCGGTGTTGCCATGGTTACTAAAAATAGAAATTTCTGTGAAATTCCTTTAAAACCCTACTCCTCATACAGTTTTGGTCTGATTTCAATATAACTTGGCACACAAGTAGACTACACTAAGATACATAATCTAGTGCATCGGTATTTGATTTGGATGAGCGGTGTTGCCATGGTTACTAAAAATAGAAATTTCTGTGAAATTCCTTTAAAATGCTACTCCTCCTACAGTTTTGGTCTGATTTCAATGTGATTTGGCATACAAGTAGCCTCTATTAAGATTCATAATTTAGTGCATCGGTTTTTGATTTGGATGAGCGGTGTTGCCATGGTTACTAAAAATAGAAATTTCTGTGAAATTCCTTTAAAATGCTACTCCTCCTACAGTTTTGGTCTGGTTTCAATATAACTTGGCACACGAGTAGACTACACTAAGATTCATAATTTAGTGAATCGGTTTTTGACTTCTATGAACGATGTTGCCATGGTTACTAAAAATAGAAATTTCTGTGAAATTCCTTCAAAATGAAATTCCTCCTACAGTTTTGGTCTGGTTTCAATATAACTTGGCACACAAGTAGACTACACTATGATACATAATTCAGAGCATCAGTTTTTTTATTTCAATGAAAGATGTTGCCATGGTTACTAAAAATAGAAATTTCTGTGAATTTCTTTTAAAACGCTACTCCTCCTTCAGTTTTTATTTGATTTCAATTTAACTTGGCACACAAGTAGACTATATGAAGATATATAATTCTATTTATTGCTGCATGTTGCAAAGTTTCGAATCCAAGTGCTACTTTTTCTTTGTTACATGTATATGTACAGACCAGTAGAGCTACAGTCTCATCAGAGACTTCTGGTTTATGTAATGTGTATAAAAACCCTATCATTAAATGTTCGTAGCTGTGCTAATTTCTATGTGATAGATACACTGTTCCTGGGCTACCGGTACATTTATCTTAGAACAATAGATTAACAGTGATTGTGAGTTTTATATTAGTGACCTTTATTTCCTTTTCTAGTCAAGATGATCTAGAAGCTCCCCCATCTCCCAGTGCCTATCAGAGCAGCCCCCCGGCCAGGTGATACGGCACTCTAGACTCTCACTCTTAATTTTCTAGATTTCTTGCTTAACATAGGGAAAGGAAAAATAGCACAATTATTTAACCTTAATGAATTTATTATTACTAGTAATTGTCCTACTTGAAAGAACTCAGTGTACTGGAATACAAGGTATATTCTTGAGCTTACTGTTTAACTTGGAATCTAATTACAAGTCATATTTTGAATAGATGTTTTAAATAATAGGAAATTATTTGGAGTTAAATAATGTGTTGTTTCTAATATTAAACCATCAAGGGAAAACTGAGAAAGGATGATACACTATTAAAATGAAAAAAAAATGGACACAGTCATGATGCCAAATAATATGTTAAATACCTCATTCGTTCAAACTGAAAATACCTCATTTGTTCAAACTGATTATCTTTCAAAGGAGAAAATAATTTATTCTAATTTTGTAATGAAATAGTATCATATTGAAAAGAAAGGAAATTTTTATGCACAAAAATACATACACTGTATATAGTGTCATAAATCTGAATGCAATCATAGACATACATATGTACTTTTTAATGAAACTTTGCATATACATGTACTAGCTTGCATTGTATTCCTAGTACAAAGGGTTTTTAATAATAATTTTTGGTTGAATTTTTTTCTCTGTATTTCTAACTTTGCAAATTAGCGAACAGAGTAATTCTTAAGTTACCGTGTTCATGTATCTCACCCAAGCTTTTTCACCAGTTAACATTCATGCACTCTTGGTTTGAATTTCTCGACACTGATAAGTTAACTGCTAGCTCTTTCCATTAATTTGATGCTGTAGTTTCCATTTGAGTAACATTATGTGGTTTCTTTTTCAACTTATCAGAAAACTCTCTTACTGTTTCCTCTTATTTCTTATGCCATCCTTTTTTGATACTTTATATAGAAGTATATATTTCGATCTGGCTAGATTTTGTATTTCATGTATTGAATATGTCATTTCTTTGTGATAAGAGCTGTTGGAAGGACCAGTTTGTGTGAAAATTACAAATATTATTTGTTCCCCCATTTTGAAGTAGAAAACCTTTTGAGTCTCAGCACATGGATGCTACAAAATCATAATTAATTTCTCCTATCAAACATCTGTGACTAAATTTACTGAGCATTTTGTATCTTTTCTGTAAATTTGAAATTAAAATTTTTTTTATTTTGCAGTGTGCCAATGAATACTGATGTAGCCCCGTCTCCACCTGTCAATCAAGATCATTATAAACACAGGTAGGCTCTGCCGTAACATGATGAAGTTAAGATCTGAATTAGGGTTTACAGTATATGTCAATCTCATTAAAATTAGTTCTTTGATCTGCTCCCCATGTTTTTTATATCGTGATGTAACAAAATGGGAAGATGATTAAAGATCTAATTTTTATTAGCTCACCTGAGCCAAAGGCTCAAGTGAGCTTTTCTGATCAAAATTTGTCCGTTGTCTGTCGTCGTCGTTGTCGTTGGCGTCGTCGTTGTTGTAAACTTTTCACATTTTCTTCTTCTTCTCCAGAACCACTAGGCCAATTTCAACCAAACTTGCCACAAAGTATCCTTGGGTGAAGGGGATTCAAGTTTGTTCAAATGAAGGGCCACGCCCTCTTTCAAGGGGAGATAATTAAGAATTAGTGAAAAAATAAATGCATCATTTAAAAATCTTCTTCTCAAGAACCATAGGGCCAGGAAAGATGAAACTCATGTGGAAGCATCTTCAGGTAGTGTACATTCAATTTTGTTCAAATCATGACCCCCGGGGGTAGGGCGGGGCCACAATTGAGGATCAAAGTTTTACATAGAAATATATAGGAAAAACCTTTAAAAATCTTCTTCTCAAGAACAGCAAAGCCATGATGAGTCATATTTATATGGAAGCATCCTCGGGTAGCGTAGATTCAAGTTTGTTCAAACCATGACCCCCGGGGGTAGGGCGGGGCCACAATGGAGGATCAAAGTTTTACATAGAAATATATAAGAAAAATCTTTAAAAATCTCATTCTCAAGAACAGCAAAGTCATGATGAGTCATATTTATATGGAAGCATCCTCGGGTAGCGTAGATTCAAGTTTGTTCAAACCATGACCCCCGGGGGTAGGGCGGGGCCACAATGGAGGATCAAAGTTTTACATAGAAATGTATAGGAAAAATCTTTAAAAATCTTCTTCTCAAGAACAGCAAAGCCACAATGAGTCATATTTATATGGAAGCATCCTCAGGTAGTGTAGATTCTATTTTGTTCAAACCATGACCCCTGGGGGTAGGGCATGGCCACAATGGAGGATCAAAGTTTTACATAGAAATATCTAGGAAAAATCTTTAAAAATCTTCTTCTCGGGAACAACAAAGTCATGATGAGTCATATTTATATGGAAGCATCCTCAGGTAGTGTAGATTCAAGTTTGTTCAAACCATGACCCCCGGGGGTAGGGCGGGGCCACAATGGAGAATCAAAGTTTTACATAGAAATAGATAAGAAAAATCTTTAAAAATCTCATTCTCAAGAACAGCAAAGTCATGATGAGTCATATTTATATGGAAGCATCCTCAGGTAGTGTAGATTCAAGTTTGTTAAAATCATGACCCCCGTGGGTAGGATGGGGCCACAATGGAGGATCAAAGTTTTACATAGAAATATCTAGGAAAAATCTTTAAAAATCTTCTTCTCAAGCACAGCAAAGCCATGATGAGTCATATTTATATGGAAGCATCCTCAGGTAGTGTAGATTCAAGTTTGTTCAAACCATGACCCCCGGGGGTAGGGCGGGGCCACAATGGAGAATCAAAGTTTTACATAGAAATATATAGGAAAAATCTTCTTCTCAGGAACAGCAAAGCCCTGATTGTTCATATTTATATGGAAGCATCCTCAGGTAGGGTAGATTCAAATTTATTCAGATCATGACCCCCGGGGGTAGGATGGGGCCACAATGGAGGATCAAAGTTTTACATAGAAATGTATAGGAAAAATTTTTAAAATCTTCTTCTCAGGAACAGCAAAGCCCTGATTGATCATATTTATGTGGAAGCATCCTCAGGTAGTGTAGATTCTATTTTGTTCAAATCATGACCCCCGTGGGTAGGATGGGGTCACAAAGTCTTAAATAGAAATATATAGCAAAATTTCTTCTTCTGAAGAACTGCAAACCATGATTAGTCATTTTGATATGGAAGCATCCTCAGGTAGTGTAGATAAAATTTTGTTCAAATGATGATCCCCAGGGGTTGGGTGGGGCCCATTGGGGGATCGAAAGTTTTACATAAGAACATATAGAAAAAAATATTTCTTCTCAAGAACAGGAAAGCTATGTTTAGTCATATTGATATGGAAGCATCCTCAGGTAGTGTAGATCATGTAGATTCAAGTTCAAATGATGACCCCTGGGATAGGGAGGAACCACAATGGGGGATCAAATTTTTACAAAGGAATATATGGGAAAAATTTTTAAAAATCTTCTCAAGTAACCCCCCCCCCCCCCCCAACCCCCCCGGGTAATCTTTTCAATACTGAACTGATTTGTGCTTTTGCCTAGCCAATGTGCTCAGGTGAGCGATGTGGCCCATGGGCCTCTTGTTGGATTTGGTGCAAGATAGAAACATTTATCTAGCCAGCTTTATTCAATTTTTTGCAGCTCAGCAAACATGGAAACTGACATCACAACCAGGATAAAGCAGCAAAGCAAGAAACTACACGGTAAGTTCAGAATCCCCAAAAAAGATTACAGGGTTTGTGTACCACACAAAAAATTACTATCCTGTACAAGAAGGTAAATTCTGAAAAATTAAAGAATATGCACATAATATTTTATCATAGATGGAGAATTATTTCAGTAATTATTTAACTGACACTAAAAAAAAAATAATTGAAAGTAAATTAGAATCATTGTCATTTCCAATAGCTCTGAAGAAAAAACTGAAGCACTTTGAGGACAACTTTGAAAAGGAAAATGGTTACAAGGTAAACAAATAGTTAATGTGTCTGTGAAGTTGAGACATTGTCTTTCATAATCTAAATATTTGGTCTGAGATATGTTTACAAAACTACTTTGTAATATTTTTAAGCCCTCACTAGCAGACAAAGCCAGCAAGCCCACCATCAAGAAATGGATGAATGACATCTCAAAAGCAAAGAGAGAGATAAAGAGTAGGTCTTCTTACTTAATGTTTTTAGATTAATTGACATAGTATAGAAATGTTTGTAATATTTTGTACCATATTTAATCTTTTTGCTTAGGATTAAAGGAGGAGGCTGAGATGGGAAACCGCAGTCGCCACGGCAGTGGAGCATCCTCCAGTGGAGAGCGACTAGAGCCACCTGAACTCCCGCCTACAATGGAACAAACACTGAATGTCATCCTGCTGAAACTGGACGATAAACGACGGGATGCTAGACGCCCTGAGGATGTTGATGTAATGAATAGGAAATTTGAAATCCCTTTTGTATCTGATAATAAGGGTGATGGATAAGAATAAAACTGGGGACAAAGGCCTGTAAATTTGTACTTGGTTTGTAAAAATAATTCAGTTAAAAGGTTTGATAGGTTTATCAATGTTTTCTGAATCATTTTTCTTTGGATAAATGAAAAAAACACAAATTATAGAAACTGTCACTTTTACTGCAGTGTGTCATTTTGAAGATCAATAACTGCTGAAAGCATCCCCATTTAACTCTTAAATGATACCTTTGTTTTCCATTTTAAATTTTAGGCTAGTAGATTTTATTTCCCTGTGCAAAAATTTAAGCATTTACAGGCTTGAATGATTTGTGCACCTTAAAGTTTTCTGAAAGATTGATAAAACAAATCATAAAATGGGACTTGATTTGCTTTGCCAGATGATGACCACAGACCAGATTTTAGATGAAAAGTTAGCAGTTCAGAAATCCTTGCTTCATTTTGAAAATCTTCATGGAAGACCAGTAAGTTATAGGAATCTTAAAATTAATATCAAGTTAAAATCGAAAAAAACATCAACAAGTCAAATGAAGGAGTATTTACTATTTCAGATATTTCAAATTAATTGATTTTTAGTACTCTAAAAAATGTATGCCATATTATTATGTTTATGCTACAGTATTATTATTAAATCTGTCATAGAAAACAAGGGAGGAGAAGGATTTGATGAGACCTTTGTATGACCGATACAGGAAAATTAAAAGACTCTTGTCTAAACCTAATTCCGTAAGTATATCAGAGTAATTCACAAAAACTATTTTCCTGTTTGTTGTAATGAAATAAGAATTGCTATATTATATGTTTGTTACTTAGCCAAGAGAGAAGAATGAGTTACAAACAGTGCCAGAGGACGGACCAATAGAATTAGAGGGAGGCTTCCAAAACCCATATGTAAGTCAAAACACAGAGAACAGTCTTTAAATTAACAGATGTACAGTTATTTAAATTATGCATTGATGTATAATCACCATGCACAAATGATTTAACATAACAACTTTATGTTCCTGTATGAAGGTACAACTTATTAATGAACAATAAAGAACATGTGCTCCAAATTTAATATTACAATGGGTATAATTACAGAGACCCTCAGTGCGGATTCCCACGGCTCATTATGATGACCTTGAGGATGGCCTTGGTTCTGGTTTGGGGACAATGGGGACTATGGACTTTGCTGTCACTAGAGACTTTTCTGTCCTCCCTGATTCGATGCGGCCAATATCAAAGGAGGCTACCAGGAAGGAACATTCTCCTAAAGTGAAGAGGAAACTGAGCCTGCCAGAAGAAGAGGAGGAGGGCAATCAGAACCAGGAGACAAATCTTCATGAAATGTCAATGTAAGTCTGGCTTATCTGGCCTACAATTCTGATAAAATTTCAGGTGCGTGAAATTTCCCTTTTGGAAGTGCATGTATATTTGTAGTGTAGATTAGAAGTGATCATGACAAGCCTTCTATGGATATCCGAAAGAATTATAGATAATATGTTTCGTCTTGAGAATATATTAACTTCAGATTTTAGTTATGCTTAAAACTTTCTTCAGACCAGAGCTTCAGGATGAGTTGATGAAGTCTAAGGGAGAGAAGAAAAGAATACGCAGGACCTTAAGGAACTTTGAAGAAGATTTCTTTCAAAAAAATGGAAGGTATGTATGTTTTTACCAAAGTTACTAAAATATATGCACACAAACATTTCATTTGTTCCCTTTTAGTTTACATGTATTCTCATTATTCTGACCTTTAACCTTTACAGGAAGGTACAGCGAGATGATAGAGAACCATTGCAGACAGAGTACACAAGCTACAAGGTACTGATTATCGGGTTATAAACAGAACAGATTCACTAAACCCCTCTTTTGTTGTGTTATTCAGTTCCATTTGAACATAATTTACATGTAGTTAACCTCTTAAAAACATTTGTTCATACTAATAGAAATGTAACCTTTTGTATTTCAGCAAGTGAAAGCCAAATTAAAACTGCTGGAGGCATTGTTATCAAAGCTACAAAACACCGATGAAGTCTGACTGCTTTATCAATGAGTGGCTTGTGTATTTTGTGTCAGTGGATGATCCCAGTGTTCATAGAAACATTGTCAGGGAAAGATGTCAAGTTCATCTCAGAAAACTGTATCTAGTCAAACACTGCAATGACCAAGAAATCATGCGTTATGGTCTGTGAAGATATCTGACAGAAAGAGTGCCGTAGCTTTGAGTTGCTGTATTGTTGCTTTGGTTATGTTATCTAGTTTGCGTAGTTTTAATGTTCAGTCCTTTTTGGAACTGTTTATACAGCTGGGTATACCAATAATAACAGTACTTTTTTCAATATTGCTACAAGGTTTATATGCAGTACCGTCCAAAGTAATATTCACCATTTTAATAGATATCTTTTTTAAAACTTGATAATGTCTTCATAAACATACATGTAGTTTCAGAGTTTCATTCAGTACATGTAACAAATCTATAATTTATTTTCATTTATATAACCTTCTAGTCTATGTATTTTTTTCTATTATGCTTGTCATACAAGGGTAGTATAAAAGTATTTTTGTATAAAATCAGGTTCATGCAAGATGTATACTAGTTTTCAGGACAGGTGAGAAAAAAAAAGAAAATGACATTGAAACTTTATTTAATCCTTATAGTCATTCATGATGATGTCTCTGGTGTCCCAGTTACATGTAGTTATCTATACTCGCAAATCTGTAGCAAATTGAGTAATTAGATGTCTGGCTTTGCAGAGTTGAAGTTAATGATATTTTGAACATATACATAATAGGTTGATAAATACATAATAGGTTGATAAGCCAGTATTACCTATTACTTCAAGGAAATTAACTAATACTTCAAGACAATAATCTAATACTACATGTACATACAAGAAAATTATCTTATACTGTACTTATAGAAAATTGTTGATGTCAGTTGACTTATCACATGTTAAGTCAGATTTTGCACACCTGGCATTCCACCAAATGTCTCTGTTTCATACAGTGTGGTATACCCTCCATGTTTTGTAAATTGTTGGATTAGTGACCTACCAAGGTTACTTTCTTAAGTGATAATACAAATGGCATTGTGAATATGTATGACAGTCATGTATATTGCTTCAGTAGTTGTGTGATTTAAAGAAAGGATCTGGATGAGAGACATCACTAAGCTTACCTATATGAATATTACAGAGAATGGTTCCCTGTGACAGATGATGCCAAATCACTTCAAATGTTAGATATGAAATGAATGTTTTGACACCATAAAGCATGGCAGTGGTTTTAAGTTTTTTGTTGATTTTTTTTTTAAGATGAAGATTATTCAATATTTTTAGTTAGCTTGACAAGTTTACAGTGCTAAGGAAGTGCTATGTATACTCTGTGATTTTCAGAAGTTGCAACATTGTTTATGAAAGAAAGTAAATAAGGGATAATAAAACAGTGTATAGTTTTGTGGGGGGAGGGGGACTTCAGCTTAATTCACTTACTTCTTTAGAATGCTTGTGAGAGAGAGTGAATGTTAAAAATATTCTAGTATGATTCTGTAAGTCACATTTCGTGGGAATCTGTTTTGCGATACAATTGTAATGGATTTATTTGAGTTCTACCTTTCTTGTATTCTCTGTACAAAAATTACTAGAAGTTGGAATTACGCCCCTTTTCCGTTTATGAGACCAAAACTGTATCGCAAAATCAAGTTCTCACAAAGTAAATGATTTACAATTGATATAAGGAAAAAATTGTATAAATTAATTAAGAGGGAACAAAATCCTGTTTTGTCTGTCAAACATCTTGACTAGGATAAATTTCTCATTAGTATCAGTTCACATTCCATTTTGTATGGCATTGCGAGGTCTTTGTATGGCAGTACTTTTGATAGACATTTACCAAGGTTTGATGGCAATGTTACAACTCTGAGTTGCTTGTTGTGAATATTGTACAGATAAACATGTTCTTTTGTTAAGTTGTTATACATATATATTATGACAAAATTAAACTGTTTTAAGTCTCTGATTGAGATTGTTATTTATTTAACAAAATTCTCTTATTACCACCACCACTGAGCAAAATGATGTTGAAGATAAAGTAAGGTATTCTGGGTTATATCACTTGATACCTCTAAATTTCAATAACGTAGAATGCTAGAAAAGCTGAAAAATAGTATGTTTTCATTATCGTAAAAAAGTCGCACACGTTCAAAATGGCATGTGAGATTTCTTTGTGGACTTGAACGTAGCGTTACTAAGCGCCTGTACTCTAGATTCTTCCGAAGAACGTTGGAATGGTCGACGCAGTGTGTCTTTACACAGAGTCACGCCAAACCCAGGCCGATCGGGCAAGTCGATAAAACCGTCCGCTGGTAAGGGTTCGTCTGGAAATAACCCACCAAAATATGGGACTATTTTATCCGCTTTCGGGCTAAGGTTGATAAATTCTGCAAGAGGACAGTTGCGAAAGGCATATTGTAGATGGTAAGAATAAATACTGGATCCATGGGGAACAACCAACACGTCATGGGCTGACGCCATGGCGACGATTCGTCGCGCTTCCGTGATTCCGCCGAGCCACGAGATGTCTGGTTGGAGAATGTCCACACATTTAGAATTAAGAAGAAGTTGATATCCATAGCGACTATATTCATGTTCCGCTGTAGTCAGTAAAACTGTGGAACCACGCAAGGCTTCCCGTACTTCTTTGTAACCTTCATAGCTGTCAGGTGGCAAGAACTCTTCTATCCACTTCAATCCTAAGGGCTCAAGTGCTTTCGCTAGTTTCACGGTGTAAGGTACACTCAGTGCCATATAACAATCCAGCATGAGCGGGAAATCTGGACCTACAATTTCACGCCATTTCTTGAATATTTCCACGTTTTTCTTCAATCCCTGGTCACCATCAGCTGGCCCATAGGCACACGGAATTTTTGCGCCAACAAATCCCAATTGTTTTGCGATATCTGGACGAGCAGTAGTAGAATACACTGGGAGGCGTTGCTTCGTTTTCCCGCCAAGTAATGCATAGACCGGTTCATTTCTCAGCTTTCCCAGCAGATCCCATAGTGCAAGATCGATAGCACTAATGCACTGAATAGGCAAACCCTTGCGTCCGTAGTTGAGGGTGGCCCGGAACATTTGGTCCCACATGAGCTCCACATCTCGAGGATCCTGTCCCTCCACAAACCTGCTGAGGTGTTTCTCCACGATGTAACAGCCAGGGACACCACCAATGGTTACACCGACTCCACATGTTCCATCGTCTGCTTCCACCTCCACAACCAGAGTGCCGAGAGCGTTGATCCCCCAGGATTTCCGAGTGGAGGCATACTGCTCGTACCCAGACATGGGGTTTGCTATAGGGGTGGGGTAGCCATTAATCCAGTGAGTATCTTCCACATCGTGGCAGTCGGCGCCCTGGTCCTCGGGTTTAGATTCTGAGACGTAAGCTCGTACACACTTAATCCTTGGAAATATTTTAGTTTTTCCTTCCATCGTGGCCGTTTCAGTGATCTTGCTTGTACCGTTATGCCAGTTTGGAATGAGAATCCTTTATCTTTCTGACCGTGACAGTACATATTACGGCAAAGATTTCTGTTAGGTCATTATATACAGACGCACGGAAAACCAATACATAGGTAATACAGATAAGCAGTATTCATGTCAACGTTTGCATTTATTGTTCTATCTTGCCTCCAAATGCTTCGAATGTAGACGAAAGTTACAAATGCCCAATACTTGAATACATGTACCGGTATATAGATAAAATGCATCTCGATGCATCTTGGAAACAAGTATTTCTAGTTCCAGTGGGGTTATAAAAAATGATTATTGACCCACGGAATGTGTATGTTGATTATCCAATAGGAAAAGCGGGAAACCAAATCTTGAAACAAGTGAATGTTCACATTGAGACTGATCGTTCAAAGAAATATGTCGGGCTTAAGGGCATATGCTACAAAAACAGTTGAATGCATGGATTGGTATAAATTTTTGGATTTATTTTGAATGATGCATATACATGTATCACATTTCTAAAATATTTAAGAAATTGAAGACTTTGTATATTGTTCAGATTCCTTATTTAGGTTACCTGTGTCACCCCAGGTGACCTTTTGCTATCTGTTTCTTTCCGCCATCGTCCGTCGTGCGTTAACATTTGAACATTTTTAGCTTCTACTCTGGAACCTCTGAACCAATTTCAACCAATTTTGGCATATAGCATCTATGGGTGAAGGGGAACAAAAACTGTTATTTTCATGGTCCCTGCCCCCTGGGACCAAAGGGGTGGGGCTAAAACCATCAAAATTAATGCAATCGTTAAAAATCTTCTTATCTCCTATACATCAAGCAGTCAACTGTTGACATGATTGCAATAAGCATGGAGCCCTCTACCAAATTTGTGAAATTCATGGCTCCAGGGTCAAAAATTCGAGAGCTAGGGTGGGGCTCTATTGATTCTTTAGTGAAAATGCATTTTAATGCTTTGAAAATCTTCTCTACAGATGAGAATGAAGCATACAAACTAAGTGCATGTTTGTGGTGTGCAAGGGCGCCTCTTCCAAAGTAGTGAAATTCTTGGTCCATGGGTTACGTTCTGGAGTTAGGGTGGGGCTCTAAATAGTGAAAATGCATAAATTCTCTGAAATTATTTTCGGCTTTTGAATATTTAGCAGAGAAACTTAAGTGTATGTTTATAATGAGAAGAAGGGCATCTTCCAAAATTGTGAAATCCATGGCCCCTGAGACGGGGTTCTGGAGTGAGAGTGGGGTCTATTATGATCATGTATGGGAATATTTACTCTGCTTTAAGAGAAGTTATTCCCCTTTGTTATTCATTTATGATAATTAATCAATGTCAATAATGTAATTGATAGGTAAATTGACTTAAAGAATTATACAAGATTTTTTTTAAAATATATAATACGAAACTACTTAAATTATAGTTTTTAGTATTTAGGCAGACTTGTAAATAATAGATGATTTAAAAAAAATGAGGCAAAAATATCTTATTGAAGTACATTATGCAATTACGGACTCTTTTGGTGGTGAATATGGTTTGATATTAACCTGAAAAAAAAAATCAATATTGACCGAGGCGAATATTGCATTTTGATAGCACTGGCATATCCAGGGCATTTTGAGCGAGACAAACTAATTTGTTGATATCTGATCATCCCATATCCCTTGTTTTTAATTTTCGGTTGTTTTGTTTTATTATATAATTTATACCATTCCCATGGATGCTTTATACTCAGGTGACCGTGAAGGCCCTTGGACTTTTTTTGGCCACCACCCTTATAAATATATGCAATTTTTCATCATTTGATAGAACACAGAGAAACTTCGAATGAAAAATGAAACTTTATGCGGCTAAACTTATTTATTTTACTTAGATATATCAAGATTTAGTGTTTTTGTTTTGTTTTGGTTTTTGAAAGAAAAGGTCTGTAGCGTAGCATCCGTCCTGAATGGAAGATACAGTTACAAACCAATAACTATATACGTAATATGTCCACAGTTTCTTTCCAGTCATTACAATAGGTTCTGTTGAGATTTTGTACATCCCATTGGTACATTCCTTATAGTTTCTTTTGGGACATTATCTATAGCTTATACGTCATATTGCCAAACAAATCTATTTAGATATTGTCTGAAGTTTTCATTGAGGTATATAAGTTTCCATCCCTAAGATAGCGTCTGGTGTTCTCGAGTGAAGTTGAATAGGACTTTATGCCAGGGGCTCTGAAGACATTACTGTAGAAAGATTGGTCCTATGTTATAACTATTAAATTGCACTGACTACGAAATTACGTACGAAGAATCAATTCAATCTTGAAAGATACTTGAAAGATAATTAAATGCTCTTACTTAATTGTATATTAAGCATTTATATTCAACTAATGCCTTGTTTCACACTTCAAAGTTATTGACCCTTTAAATCTTTATTTTTTATTGGCTCATTTAAATACGAAAGGAATAAAGATCACACTTAATTGTTCGGAAAAAGATCTAAATAATGGTGAGAGTGATAGATGGAAATTTTCGTCAGTACATCTTCACATTCCCTGTCAATGATGCATAATTATTATTTGACTAAATTTTCATTTATCATCAAGATTCTTTGTACAAAAGTGTCCATATTTGGAACTCGGTATTGGAAACCTTTCATCAACATATATAATATACTTGTAGAGTAAGAAAATACATGTATGAACCGAACCACTGTAAATGGCTAGGTCAAAATCAAAATTTTAATAATGAAAGTAATTTTTTAGTTCAATTAGACTAAAGATCATGATTAAGAAAAATGGCTGGGACCATCTGTAAATTTGACCAAGAACAAGCTTCCAGAGTGTCTTTGTTAATATAAAGACCCCAAAGGGGTCTTTGACACAGGAATGTAAAAGTAGGTTTAGTAAATTTCTTTCAACATCTTAATTGTTCTCAAGAAAAACAGGCCATATTTAGTCAAATTAATAAGACAGCCTCTCCCATGTTCTGAAGATTCAAAATCTCTTTGACCTCATGACCTTCTGGGTTGTGTCACAATAGGTCAAAATAACTGGAAATAGTCTTTAAAGGAATAGGGCTACAACATAATTAAAATCAATATGCATGCATCCGTATGTGGTGTAAATTCAATGGCCCCATGGGATAAGGTCAAAATAGAGGTCCATGTTTTTGACAAGAATATACAAAAACGTTTTTTTAAATCTTACTCAGAGAAGCATGGTCAAGCATCACCATGTACACATGCTGTAGAGATTTGTATTTGTTCATATGATTTTCAAAAAAGAAAAGAAAAAGGCGAGAGTACAGTACCAGTACAAAGTTTAACGCAGGAATGTAAAGGCCACCTTAAAGGGGCACAGACACATTTGCATTGTCGTTTTGAATTTTTCTATTTATTTAAAAAATAACTTCAGTTTTATGATTTGAACTTACATGAAAATTCTTTATATTTAATGACAATGGCGTTCTCCATGACTTTGCAACAAATACTGTGTTTCTAAACATGGGGCTCGAGCCCTGTTAATATTTATATGTTTACATTTTATTGGGTATGTTCGAATTGCTAGCACAACACTGCACACATCACTTAACATGAATTGACAACACTTGCTATCCATAGAGACTTTTCTTGTAACACTCCAACTACGCCTGTTGAAATAACTTTTTGAAACTTCCTTTTCTTCACGCAAGCTCTTGAACAAGCCACAAATTTCCCACATTTCTTTAATATTAAGTGCAAGGATGTTTGACAATAAAACACGCCAGAAATCCGTAGTTTAGGTAATTTCCAGATACTAAATATAAAGAGTTTTCTAAACAAGCTTTTATAACATATAGACCTGAAACGTTCTCACAACATGCAAGACGTAAAATTTTACCAAAAATTTTGAAGTAAATAACTTCCAATCTGTATCTATGACCCATTAAAGAAGCTCTAAACACTAATGAAAAAAAAAGACTTTTAGTATCATATAAAGGTGTACATACCGAGTTTATCTAGTTCATTTTCAACATGGGTACCTGTCATATTTCTACAGGAGAAACGTTCAAAGACACTGAGGGATAAGTGAACAAGAATTGCTTCGGGAAAATACCTGCAAATAATGTGTTCTATTACTTTATCTTGGTCTAATACATGTATAATGTTAAGAATACAACAATCTACTTCAAATCGTGTCATTTACAGCAAATTTCCACTTATTCCTTTGTTCATCAAAGGGCAGCTCACTCCAACTGCATAAAACTACCAGGTAATTAGAATTCTTCAGTGAGCAGTGTTTAGAGCTTCCTTAACACAAAAAAATGTCAGTAGGTTGAGGCCAATGGGTCTCTTGTCTATGAATCTGTGTGAATCTAAGTTTACAAATGACCAGTTTATGTAGTTGTGATAGGTAGTTAAGTTGAAAATACATAGGTATGCTTTATAGATGCTCGAATTCCAAAAAGACATAATTTGCAAGTGCGTCAGTAAATCCCTTTCTCCGATAATTTAGTTTCGTCAGGAATTTAATATCACTTACAAGGACTTGAGAAAATATATTTTTCATCAAAGATACAAAAAATGACAAGATAAATAACAAACATTAACGATTTATTCAAATAAAAAAAAAAGGGATTTAAATACAATACAGATCATTAATAGAACATTGACATTTTATAAACGAATTATATATATATATATAAAAACATACTTTTTTTCTCCAGTCAATAGCTCCAAAAACATCCAATAACCTTTATCTATGAATTCAGTCAAAAGTGGCACAAAGGAAATTTATCAAAATAAAAAAGAGAGAGAAATGCGTCTTTAGCTTTTGTTTACGATCCGCGCCTGTAGCAGTTCTTTGAAATATTATCAAGCAGATTACCCACATTATCTCTTAATATCATAATCTCCGATGAAAGCCATTAATTTTAACTAATTTCAGCTCCCTATATCCATTGATACTTTGTGCCAAGTTCGTTGAAAATGGTCCAGAGATTTTGAAAAGTGGTAAGGATTGAAGAATGTTCAAACATTTATGACATGTAAGTGGTCGACAAGACATACTCAGCGGAAAAGTCTGAAAAGTGCCATATGGTCGTCGTACCGGGTTGATTAAATGACACGGGATTGTCCACACACATAATTTTATACAATTCTAAAGATGAGTTGCCTGCAAATATATTCAAATTAGGTCCAAAGGGCAAACCAACCAGATAGGTGCTAAGTATTCAGGCTAATAATGTTTCTTGTCTAAACTGTTAGAAAGGACATTGATACTAACTGTTATGTGGTGTTGCCATATTTTGACTGGCTGCAAAAACATTTGAACATTTATATCATTTAAGCTTTAAACCTTAACTATCATTAAACTTTAAAGATGCTCATGGATCACCATAGCACTTGTAAACATTTTTGACCTGAATTAAGTAAGATTTGGACACATCGATAGTCCACTTTATCACAAGCTACATTCCGCACAGATACTGACGCAAACATTAGTAGGCGATAATCCAGCAACATGGCTGCTCCAACCACCATGAAGGCGCTGATCAAGACAAAGGAAGGCAAGTCGTTTGACTATGTAGATGTTCCTGTACCAGAGCCCAGCGGTGACGAAGTTCTTATCAAAGTTGATGCTGTGTCTGTGTGTGGTTCCGACATTAACCTTTACTCCTGGAACCAAGTGGCCCAGGTCATAGCTTCCATTCCCTTTACTCCGGGTCACGAATGCGCAGGGACCGTGGTGAAATGTGGTCCTGATGCCAAAGGCATGAAGGTGGGGGCCAAGGTTGGGGTGGAAAACCACTACTACTGTGGGGAGTGTTATCAGTGTCAGCATGACACGAAAGCAATATGTAAGAACATGGGGCAGTTTGGGCATGGTAAGAAGACGCCTTACGGAGGGTGTTCCGAGTATACCATCGTACCCGCTAAATATCTGTATCAAATGAAAAGAAATATTGGTGAGTGATATACATTTATCATTTATATTTTTTCAGCGCTGTAGTGAGTAAAGTTCTAATGTGGTCAATTTTACATCTATTTTTCAGATGCTGACGAGATTGCAATGTTAGAACCACTAGGTGTCGCTCATAATGCCACAGAGAGGCTTGAAGTGGCGGGAGAAGACGTGCTTATCATTGGATGTGGACCTGTAGGTCTCCTTGTTCTCATGGTCGCCAAAGCTGTAGGAGCAAAACGGTGCATATATTAGATTTATTTATTACCATATAAAGATGCACGTATTTCTTGATACAACCTCATTTACAGATGTTCTTTACATTCCAGTCCTGTCATATTTTCCTGAATGTTGTATAGCATTATTTCGTTTACATTTATCAATAAATATACCCAATAAGAAATTTTATGATAAAAATTGTTTTATGACCTAGATCTTAAATCTCCCTTTAATGCAATTTGTGCGTCTTTTCGAATACTTTGAAGGATTAAGTTTTTCCTTTTGTAGATCGATAGTGCTCTATAGAATATTTTCGCTGACCTTATTATGTCCATATAGTTTTATGTTACTATAGTAAACTCAATTCTTGAGAAAATGCTCAAAAGTTTAAAAAAAATCTCATGATCCATTAACCAGACACATTTTTCAGGGGGCACTTTCATCCTACTCGAATACGTTTTAATCTTGTTGTGCAAACACATTAGTAACTTACAACTCACGTTCTATATCTCCTGTGCATTACCTTGTTGAATCATTGCAGAGTAATATCAGCAGACATTGATCAAAAACGGCTAGATATGGCGAAGTCTTTAGGGGCAGATGTGATCACTAACACTCGCGAAAAGAACCTCAAAGATGTAAGATATGTCTCAGTTATCTCTAGTTGAGTTCAAGTTCAGAGAATATACAAATATATATCCTAGTAGTGTTACTGTGTATCATGTGTATACATGCATTTCTTACAAAAAGCCCCCAAAATTGTATTTGGTCACTTCTTACAACGAAGGAAAGCCCTTACAACCCAATCTGACACTTTAACAAAACTCACCGATACATTACAGTGTATTGTCTTCTTGACAGTTTATCATGGAGTTTACAAATGGTGATGGAATTGGGAGGATCTGTGAGTGTAGTGGTGCTAGTACAATGGTGAATTCAACCTTCTCAATGTTACGAAAAGGTGGACAAATGACCTTCGTGGGACTTCCAAAGGAACCACTTCACGTGGAGAACGTATTGCAAGATGTTGGTGTGTATAAAAAGAGACCAACTGAACACCCTCTCTTTCAAATCAGTATGATATTTAGCCATATTACATAAAAAATCAGGTTTGTATGTGACTATAACTTAACTTTATCAAATCAGCGCTGTTGTTCTGACTAGTAGATTGTTTAGTTGTGTGATGCAATGGCTGGCAAATGATTCCGTCATTGTATGACTGATATTGTACATGACCTGTAATTGTTTTAAATACTTAGACAAACCATTCTATCCTCTGAATGACCTTTAACTCTGATTAAAATTTTTAGCAAACTTTCCTGGCCCTTCTAAGATCTAAAACCCTCTCTGAATGTCTAACATATTTTAAACTAAATGCTCTGCCTAGGACTAGAATAACGCTCTTTCATTGAATAACGGATATCACGTGCCTATCTTTAAATATTTCTTTGAACCGGTCACAGTAGCCCCGTGGTAGGACGTTCGATTCGTGTTTGATTCCCGTTCCTTCAACAAGCGCCCGGCACTAAAAGTGAAAGTCACAGGTGTTCGGTTAAAAACCAAGGTCCCGTGTCACAGTAGGCGTTGGCACGATAAAGAACTCACTACTCAATGGCCCTGAGTGCCGAGTAAAGGTCTAAATTTCAAGCCCTTCAGCGGTATATGGGGACAATTCTATGAGAGAAAAAAAATTTCGAATGGGACTTATCACGTTAAACCTTATACAATCAATCAACATTTCTTTCGACTCCTAAAAGTAAAATTTGGACGGTAACATGGAGGATTAAAAGATGTTATGTCATCAACCCGTCATATTTCTGTGGACAGGAACAAACCTAATAAGTAATAATAATGTATAATATACTAGAATTCTTATACTGCTAATAGCTCTATGTATAACATTAAAACATGAAAAGTTTGTACTAGGCTCCAATATAGTTCGTGGCCAGAGTACCATTTGGTCAAGGTCATTTTTGTCCTCCATACAGATTTGTCACGCTCTATGACATATAGGCCTATGTATCTTTTTTCAGTGTTTAAGGCACTGACTCTAAAAACCATCCATGGCCGTCAGATTTATCACACCTGGGAAGAAACGGAGAGATTGGTTGCAGACGGCAAAATTGACGTCAAAAAGGTCATAACTAACAGGTTCCCGATGTCAAAATTCGAAGACGCCTTCAAAGCTCTGTTTGCGGGGAAGGACTGTAAGATTATACTGTATCCCTCACAGTGATCAGCAGCAAGGGAATATGTCCTGGATCAGCGAGAAATTGGAATACAAATAAACAGATATTTCGAAGACCAATTCAAACAATTACAATTCTTTACTTACAGTGATTTAAAGAGTAAAATGCTGTATTTAGTAGTTTATTTTTAATTTTATATAAATTAATAAAATTAATAAAGTATATTAATTTATAATTATGTGTTTTGCTACTTATGAAAATTTGTAATTCTGTTGAAATGTACGATTTAAGTTTAACATACTGAACACAACCCAGTATATAGCTCTAAGGCTTATCATTTTATTTCTAGGCCATCATTAAAAATATCTTTGTTTCCCCTAACCCGACCCTAAAATTTCAAGTTGGGTAGGTAGGTAGGTAAATTTTTTTTTCTGACAGCAGTTTTGAAAATACGTTCTGAAAAATTGAATACTAGTAATATCTTTAAAAATAAGAAAGAACAAAAGAAACCGATTTTTAAACCGAATATCATACAAATGAAATTTAAAAGCAACATGTATGATAAATTAATTCACAAATATTATTCATTTGAACTTGTGAAATATCTCAGGCCAGCGTATATTATTAAAATCGAAAAGACAAGATTCGCAAATACTCAACCATTGGCCATCCGAGTAAATTTTCCAAACCTACTATCATCTTCGAGTGCTTACACAGACAAAATGTCAAGGGCCTCACGTTGCGCAGTAATTCAAGTGTTTCGTTTGTAGTCTTGACGTAATTCAGGAGCTTATTGTAAGTCACAGGTCCCAATGTGGGAAGTGGAGACTGGTCAGTCGAATGAGACCGTAAAAAAAGTAGGACCATGCAGTGTCGCAGTATACATGTAGATGTTGGCAAGATAAAAGATCTCTTACTGATGCTTTATAATCAATGGCCATAAGTGTCGAGAAAAAGTCTCAATTAGGAGCCCTCCACCAGGCAGATGTTGAAATGTTGTCGACCTAACAATTTAAAAAAGGTATTTTAAAGCAAAAATACAACCTATTTTCAAGGGGCTAACTAAAGAAAAATACACTGGACGTCTCAGAAAGAACCATTAGCCAATTTTAAAGATTTCAACACTATTTGAAAAAGAATGTACCTGTATAAACAATATTTAATTCAACCAAACCATATCTAAAATGATTAAAGTTTCATATATCTAATCTTATAGTCACGAAGTTTACCCCATAAATAAAAGGAAGGAAGAAACGACATCTGAATTATATTTATCAAGATGAAATAATTATACAGACATATTTACAAATCCTATGATCCGATATAGTGAAAAATAGAATCATACATGAAGTGTTTATTAGATCGAATAAAATGCGGTGAAATTTATTGATATGCATACAGTGGGCCTCTCATCTGGTCCTGAGGTAGGTTTTGCCATGCTTACTACGTACATGTACGTTGATTTTAGATATTTGTAAATACCATCTTAACACTCCTTAGTCATAGTATATTTAATTCACAAAATGTTTCAAGAGTGTAGGATTCCAGTAAGTTATGTATATATATATATACCGCCGTTCTTTTATAACAGGAACTAACCCTCTGTGGCCATGTTGTGGGCGCCAAATGAGAGTAAAACAAAAGCCGCCGTTCTGATAAAAAAAAAACGGATTTTGATGAAATTGTACTTTACAAAGTTGAAAAATAACAAAAAAAATATTTGAATAATCTTATTAAAAAAAAACTTTTCAGTCGGCACGATTTAAGTGGGTCGGTCGCGTTAGTGGAAACAAAGGTATTTTTTTATTTTGGCCCTATCTTTAAACTTTTTTGTAAAAATTCAGAGTGATCATTATTTGTAGTTACCGACCCAAAATAAATTAAAGTATGTTGTAAAATGTGCATCTGGAACGTTGACAGAAGTGCAGAGGAGGGCATGTTTTATACGATAATACGACGTAGGTATTTGATATCTGCACTTGGATTTCTGTGCATCTGTAGCAAAGTCCAATTACAGTAATTTGACAGTATAATTTTTTGGAACAATGATCCCACTTGTATGTCGGAACATTGTATCCACTGATTTGTTGTAAGTTACAAATGGCCCAAGTAAACAATGTATCAACTAATGTATTGGAGAATGATTCCACTGGTCTATTGGAATATATCCACAGATCTGTTGGAAAAATGTATTCACTGACCTACTGGAACAAGATATCCCCTGACCTGTTGGAATATCGTACCCACTGATCTATTGGAACAAGGTATTCACTGATGGTGGAAACATTCTCAGCTGAACAATTGATATTATTCCAACAGATCTGTGGATTTTATTTCAGCATTGGATACAGTTGGATTACATTGCATTGGAGAAAATGTTTCAACAGATCTGTTGGAATGGTGTATCCACTGAAGTTCTGGAATAATGTATCCACTGGTCTGGTGAACAATGTATTAGCTGGACTGTTGGATCAATATATCCAATAAACTGTTGAAAAAAATATCCATTAATCTGTTGGAACGATTTCCACTTTTCTGCTGTAACAATGTACCAACTGGTCTGTTTGAACAATGTATCCAATGATCTGTTGATATAATATTAACTCTCTGTTGGAACAATGTATCCAATGATCTGTTGATATAATATTAACTATCTGTTGGAACAATGTATCCAATGATCTGTTGATATAATATTAACTATCTGTTGGAACAATACCCACCGACCTTTTGAAACAATATATCCAGTAATCTGCTGGAACAATGTCCCCACTCCATTGTTGTAACGATGTATCCAACGACATGTTATATATTTGTTCGAACGATATATCCAAATTTGTTGGAATAATACCCATTGATCTAATGGAGCAATATCCACTTATCTGTTGGGGGAATGTATCCAATGATTTAGTGGAATAATATCCACTGATCTGTTTGAATAATATTTATTAATCTGTTGGAATAATGTCTCAACAGAATTGCTAGAGCAATGTACATACTGTACTATTGATAAATGTATCCAATGACTGAATGGAATAATATTCACTGATATGTTGGAATAATATCCACTGTTCTGTTGAAAAGTTGTTCCTTCTGATCTGTTGGTATTTTGTATCCACTGGAACAATAAACCCACTGTTCTGTTAAATAATATTCACTGTTCTGTTTGAAAAGTGTTTCCAATGACCTGTTGGTATTGTATATCCACTGATCTGTTGGAACAATGTATCCACTGATGATACATTGGAACAATAAAATCCACTCATCTATTGGTTCAATATATTCACTGAACTGTTGAAAAAATATCCACTGATCTCTTTAACCATTTCCACTGTCCTGATGAAATAATTTACCAGATAAACTGTTGGAACAATTTATCCAATGATCTGTTGTTTATAATATCAATTCATCTGTTGGAATAAAACCAACCGACCTGTTGAAACAATATCCCAATATCTGTAGAAACAATATATCCACTGTTGGAACAGTGTTTCTATTTATCTGTTGGAATAATGTATCAATTGATCTGTTGGAACAATGTATCCATTAATTTGTGAGAAGAATATCCGGTATTGATCTAATGGAACAATATCCACTTATCTGTTGGAACAATGTAAGCACTGATTTAGGGGAATAATATCCACTGTTGATATTTTTTTTAATCTGTTGGATTAATGTCTCCACTGTTTTGCTGGAACAATGTCTCCACTGATTTATTGAATATATCCACTGATTTTTTTTTAAATTAAATACACTGATTTTTTAAACAGTACTTATTGATCTGTTGGAGTAATATGATATCCACTGATGTGTTGGAACTATTTCCACTGATCTATTGGAACAATATCCACTGATGTTAGAACAGTGTATCCACTGATCTGTTGGAACAAATTCCACTGATTTGGATCAATATCTATACTGATTCGATTGAACATTATGATCCACTGATTTGTTGGAACGATGTAGAAACTGATGTGTTTGAAGATTTGTAATGAATTGACGTTTTACTAGTGATCATGAATTCTCTCCAAATCTAACCCTATGAAAGAATGCTTGAAACAAAATACGTTAGGGAGTTTTTCTAAATTTATATGATGGTATTTACGACTTTAGAAGAATACCGGCTTTGTAGCCGTGGATGATTGAAATTTGGATGAAAACGCAATGTGACTTCGGATCTCTTTTACACCACTCCTTTCTTTTGATACTGTAACCGAAATTCGTCTGATAATACATTAATTAGATTTCATCCTGTTATGTACGTCACCAACTCCTATACTTACTAAGAAATTCACCTCTGTGTACCGTGTTCATGGCCAAGTTAACCTGGCCTTAGATCTTCCTACCTCTCCTCTGCCAAACTCAGCAACTAGATCTGATAATGTCAAACACTAGTGTATTTTACATGGTTTAAAAAGATGCTGCATATAGAAGAATAAACAATACACTTGTGATGGACAAGGAAAACACAATCTAAAACGAAACATCTGGCTCTGGGGGTCCCATTAACAGTATACGCCTGAACTAACTTTAGCTGAAATATCAAATGTTTGCCAGTTTTCAGACTTTCAAAGCCTTAAAAATTCCCCTGAATTAATTTATAATTTCACATTGCATTTAGTTTATTTATTCCCGTTGTCTATAATTAAAAAATGCCTCATAAACATATATTCGGCTGACTGTACAGTGATAGTATCTTCTATAACTTAGAAGTGAATTAACCCCTTAAAATGACATTTAAGCAGCCATCTGTATGGTCAACTGTATACGTATTCAGGAGCCTTAACCGTCAACTTACCTCAAATCAACATATACTTTAAAACACGTCACCTGCAGCTTGTCTACGCTTTGGTATCCCGATTTTGGAAGAGTGACTATATTAACAGTGCAACAGCAACATTTTCTGACACAGCGGTGTAGTCTAAACATCATATGTAAACGAAGGGTCATTTCAATGTGGAACGCTAATTAAACAGAAAGTAAATGCACTGCGATATGTGGGAGATTATAGTAATATCTGAAGGCGGACATTTAAACGCCCAAATTCGATCGTTTGATGCCAGAGACAGGGGGGTCGTGTCCTTGGTTGTATTTCCTGCGTGGAGAAAACTCCGATAACTTCCACCGGACTCGGTACAGAACGAAGGTACAAATGCCGGTGTGTGTTCACTAAACCATACCACATTGCGTTTGACAAGCCGCCGTGTTAGAGGGTTTCCTTAGATGAAGGATCTGAGTTCAGTATGTCGGGCAGAGAAAAGGATTATCATACACTGAGAAAAGAACTTCTCAGGACCAACTCTCTGTTTGTGGACGCCGACTTCCCCCCAGACAACAGCTCTCTGACCTTTGACAGGACCCCTCCCGCAGGACTCAGGACTGTCATATGGAAGCGCCCGACAGTAAGTTTACTAAAATTCCTCCACGTAATCTTCAAGAACTCTTAACTTTTTTTTGTATTTTAATCCGTTCTGGTATTTAATTACATAAACATATTCTAACCTAAGAATTATAAATGGTGAAATCAGGAAACATGCCTCGACATTGGTTTGGAGTGCGTAATTTGTAAGAACGCGAGGCTAAAAGTATTTTCGTGTTTAGAGTCAATAACAGTTCACTTTGATTTACCTGTTTAACGCACAACAGCTGTTTCAATACTTAAAAACCCTGCATGGGAGTTTGTAATTATCTACCTCTCTATATCTACTACAACATTGTAAACATTCACCTTAGTTTCTCTGTTATTGTAGTCGTACAATCAACGAACAACCATTCATTCGCTAATGCCCTTGTTTATTGACATAAGAAGATTTGAAATCTCTAAATTAATGCATTTCAAAGTAAATCGTGTTTTAAGTTAAAAAATTGGCGAGAATTTCATTTCACGCATCATGTAATTGTGTATATAGGAAATCATCTTCCGTGAATTACATCGAATTAATATATACATGACAACCATGTACAGTTCATGATTTGTAGATTTTCCTCAACTGCTCATTTTTTTGTAGGACTTGTCCCGAAACCCCAGATTTATAGTAGAGAATGCCACAAGATTCGACCTTGATCAAGGATACTTAGGTAATACTCAGAGAGGGAAGCTAATTAAATATGAAATATTAAAGGTGGACTAGCTTTGAAGCTATTCAATCGAACCATGAAACGCAATCCTTACAATGCAGAATTTCCATAATTCAGTCAATATACATATTTTAACTGGCTCGGAGCTGGCAATCCACAAGTATAATGTATATATATGTGGTAATAATACACAAAACCGGTATCTTATGTTTGTACATGGAATAATAAAAAACCTCATTTGTAATGTAAACACCTCTGTTATTCTGATGGTGATTAGGACAGCTGGTCCCTGCATCGCTGCGCACACCTGTTTCTGAAGGCTGTTTGACCACCGTCCGAGTGCCTCTTTCTGTTCATTTTTACAGGCAACTGTTGGTTCATCGCTGGAGCTGCTCTGGTAGCCACCAAAAAGAAACTACTTGAAAGGGTGGTGCCTCTAGACCAAGAGTTTGACAGAACATATGCAGGTCAACACATTATGTTTTTCTTGTACGCCTAACAATTAACTATAACACTTTTAATTTCCGTTAACTTTATATGTCAACTGAGCTGCTGTCAGTTATAAATTTGATACGTTCCTATTGAATGTTACAGACGTCTCAATGTCCGCATTAGAAGTCTCCCTCATTGAGGTGACATCCTACATTATGTGGATGTCACAGCTATTGATTCTTAAGTTCATTATGTAATACGAGAACAGGACAATATATTCAATTTTACCACGTCCTAAAGATTGCTATACTAAGTATTTTCCTCATGAAATAAAAATTCAAAGGAAGAACCTACTTGTAAAAAATAATCTTTACTTGACTCTGGTGTTAAGTCGCATGTTATTATATTAATTAATTTACATGTATGTAACTGGATCGCTAATGAACCTGCTGCCCAGCTTTCATGCGATTTGAAGGCTTTGAAATGCAATAATATATGTTTTTGAAGACACGTTGGCAAAGTTGGGGTCTGAAATAACAATCTATTCCATCACCTTTGTTTTCAGAATTATTCATGTGGAAGTCTCAGTAAAATATAATGATCTATTGAGGTCTCTTAAGTCTCCCTAATAATAGGAGGCACTCGTATTTCCTTCACCTTTGACATATTTATGTTTTTTAAGTCACAAATAGTTGTTCAGGGTTTGTAAAATATGGATTTAGATGATGATGAATGAACGATGATCAAAAGCCATTAAGTGGGTGTAAGTTAAAAGTGACATATTCTTATTTTTATATAAGTTTATTTTGTGGGTTTTAATAATTCTTTTATATTTATTATATTTTCTTGAATCGTATCCTATAAGGTACAAAAGCGAGGCATCGAAAAATACAATTATTCTTTTTGTTTAATTCATGCATAATTCACGGAAGTAGGTCCTGTATATTTAGAAAAAAAAGGCATTTCAAATTTAAAAAAGAGATGGTCAAATTTAAAAACATTCTTTCCTTAACAGAATTGAAACACTGAGAAAATTTAGTTTAGTGAAACCCTGAGTTGTTATATGAAACGAGTTACTTACTGCCCTGTAGATAAATTATACTTATTACTTATAGATGAATTAACTGTTGACCAGATTAATTCGTTGTTACTCAGTATAATTATTTGTTGCGAAGTATTACCATTAATGGCAATGTGCTTATTATCAAAAGATAACTTGGAAGTTCGATGTACATGTATATACATTTATCCAAGTTTAAGGCAATTCTGATTTATCTATTTATAACCTAACAATTGCTCAAATTAGCAATGGGTATATGCCTATTACTTGTCAGATGTATGAAATACTCTAAGTACAGTTCAAAAATATTTTTTAAATTTTTAATACAGGTAATAATTCATTCTTTCTTTAATGATTACACTTACATAAGTTTTCCTTTTTTTGTTGTGACCTCCCTTTTTTTCCTGAAAATAGTTTCTGATGTGATTTTACTACATAAATTTTCATTTGGAAGCTGCTTAGCCCCCCCCCCCCCCATTTGGAACCCTCTTTGAAAAAAGTTGCTATGGGCCTGTCTATAATTGTAAAGATATTTGCTAGAATTGTTATTTGAATATCTCCGATGCAGTTTAAAGAAAATATATATTTTAGCAGCAGTTTTTGTGAACAGTTTAGTAAGCGGTACGTGACATTTAAAAGTAATCGACATCTTACAAAAAGCAACTAATAACTGAAATTAGTTTGCAATAAGTTTTTGTCAGATCGCAATTGTCATATTTTCAAATAGCTTTTGTCAGATAGAGGTTACCATCTAGTAGAGAAATTGCTAAGCGGGTTAGTACATATATGCTAGAGGTTTCTATTGACAAGATTTTTTTAATGTAGGTATTTTCCATTTTAATTTTTGGTGGTACGGGAAGTGGGTGGAGGTGGTGATTGATGACTACCTGCCCACGGACGGCTACCGCCTGATATACGCCAGGAACAGGGAGGAACCGAACGAATTCTGGGCAGCATTGTTAGAAAAGGCGTACGCAAAGTAAGAATTATTGCTATCAGACATGCCTTATAATTTATTCACATTTATAACAGTAATATCTGGAACCGTTCCATATTTTACAACAGATTAAGGGGTTGTTACGAAGGCGTAGATGGAGGGAAACTTCAGGACAGTGTGGTCGACCTCACCGGAGGAATCTCGGAAACTGTGGACATTAAGGACAAGTCTCAGATCCCAGTGGATATCTATGAGATTTTGTGGCGATCCTGGAAGATGAACAGTTTTCTTGGCTGTAGTATATCGGTTGGTTTAGTACTTTAAATGAAAGAATGTTGGTATATTTTGAGGGTTATTCAGCCATATTCAATTACATATCAAAGATGAAGTAATTTGTTATGGGAAGCATAAATTTAAGTCACTCTGTCATAAAACCTTGTTAGATTATATAATGTAAAAAATTGGTATAAAAGTCAACAAAGTTATACTGATGGTAAATTAAGCACATATATAAAACTCAAACAAAATTGGGGTTATGAGAATTATTCATCAGTAGTTAAAAATTTTCATCACAGAAAATCTCTATGTAGATTAAGAATTTCTTGTCAAAGATTGTAAATTGAAGTGGGAAGATTTACCAACATCCCTCGAGAAGATCAGTTATGTAATAGATGCAATTCTAACAGTGAAGATGATGAAACTCCAATTTTTGATAAGATGTAAAAATATGATCATCAAAGAAAAGAAATTTTTCAGTCAATTAATTAAAAGTAAATTTCCAAATTTATCGGCGTTAGATGATGAACAAAAACTTTTTTGGTCACCCAATACTGAAGACAAAGAAATGGGCAAATTCATAAATGATAACATGTTGTAGTAGCCATACACTTTTATATGTAGTATTCCTTTTAACTGAAATAGTACAATATTATTGTTGAAATGAGCAATGTCATTTACAAATTGTTATTCTATTTGGCATATCTTTTCCTTATTATTGTAATAATTTCATGCTTGTCTGTTATGGACTCTAAATTAGGAAATAAATGTTCTATTCTGTTCATTATTTCCGAAGTATCTGATTACCACTATTCAATTGAACACAGTCCACAAAGACATGAATAAATAAATTTTTAAGATAAACATAAAAAAGTTTGATACAAATTTCTTTTTTAGCTACCTCCAAATGTAAGTTCATCATTTAGGGAAGTACGGCGGCCAAACGGATTGTACATGGGCCACGCATACAGCATCACCGCCCTAGCTGTGGTAAACAAAAAATCTTTTGCATCGAAGATTTAAGAAAGACAAGAAGATTAACTTTATTACTTTTTGTAAACGTGCACATGTAAACCATTACTTTTTTCAGATCCCCTACAAGGGGTCGAGCGTTCGTCTTTGTAGACTTCGGAATCCATGGGGACGGAGCGAGTGGAATAGTGATTGGTCAGACGAGTAAGTATCGTCTGCTTCCAACGTTTCTTGTAACTAGTCATCAACTTTCCTCAAATATACGGTAAATGAATCTTCTCATTCATTTGCAGGTCTTATCAAATCCGAAACTTGTCATCGGAAGCGAAACAAAGACTTGGGATCGTTATACAGGATGACGGTGAATTCTGGTAATGATACCTCTGTGTATCTCATCATTTTTATCAATTAATAGAGTCTATTTTTTAACTGATTTTTATGCGTGATTTTATATGAGTACGTTTATAGAATTAAAAAGTAATTTAATCTTTTCTGGATATTATTTCAACTTTTCTAAACATTTTTCCCACAGGATACCGATTGACGATGTGTTGGTTAATTTCGAGGAAATACAACTCATTCACCTTCAGCCAGACGCCACAACACAGGGGGTGGCTGTAAACGAGGTGAGGGCATGGGATTAGAATCACCTCCTATCTGTATAAGCATATAAAACACGATTTTGAAAAAAACACTGCTTGTTAATATAATAATTGAAAAAAACAAAACAAAACAAAACAACATGTCTGTGAGATGGACTATACAGTATGTTCTTATAGCTGACTTTTTTTGAAACTCTTTTAGTGACTTTCATTAATTATGATCTACATATAGCAAATAAAAATATGTTTGTGGCTTTTGTAAAGCCACAAACACATTTTTTAGCGAAAAAAGGAAGCATCAGAAAAATACTTAATTTTCAATTTAATATAAAAAAACGACTGAGAAAGAGCGTCAGGTAATGTTTAGAAAAAAAAATACTGGGTGGTGATATCAACAGATCGTCTTTAAACTCAGTTAAACATACTTTGACATTCGATAGCATTGTAGAGCACATTGTTAAAAGTTTATTTTGTAGAGATAGAGGAATTTCGTTCAATGAAAATCAACATGCAGGCCTACGTTATCTGCGATCTAGATTGTGAATTACAGGTTTTAAAAGATGGTACAAAAAGTTAATCGTCTATGACGACATCCTAGCGTTTACCGCTGTGATCTCGGAACAAATTACCATTTAATTTCCAGACAGATTGACACATCAACAGAAATTTGAGGTTGATAACAATTGGAATGACAAACTAGACAAATAAAAGAAAAACTGTCGGTGTATAGATATGTCACATACGTCTAGTTAAGGGAATATTAAAGTTTTGTTGGAAAAAAGTAACTGTAATTGAAAAAGTCTAACATGTATTATATGCTTTCAGGGTAAACGTCAGTGGAACGTGACGGTTTACCATGACCAGTGGATTAAGGGCGTCACGGCTGGGGGATGTGGAAATGCGCCATACCAAGGTTACAGCAGAATTTCATGTTCATCAATTTATGTCGTATTGCTGTTCAATTATATTGGAGTAGATACGACATGTAGATAGTAAACATTAAATTAAATTTAAAGGAAATATAATCTCAGATACCGTCTAAAAGGACATAAATTTGTTGTAAATTTAGACTTGTACTGGAAGAACCCCCAGTTTTCCGTGACTTTACGAGATGTTGATGACACAGACAACAAGCCAACATGTACTGTCATCATCAGCTTAATAGAAAAGGAGCAAAACAACAAGTCCAAAATAGCCATCGGCTTCGACGTTTACAAGGTGAGGATCCCAATAGAACAAAATAAAAAGAATTGAATGAAAAACTACACATTAACGTTGGCCATTCGTAAGTTTTATTTTTCTCTGTTCCCTCCACAATTAAACAATAATTCACACAAGGATAAACAAATCAACTTAGGCCATGGTAAATAATATCTGTTTTATGTCCCTTGATTCTTTGAAAAGGTACCCTCCAGTCCGAATAAAAAAACACATTCCAAAAAAATGGTGCTTTCACAAAGTATCCTTAATACTCAAGAAAAATAGAAATTTTGTTGTGTATTAATGAAAAATACGAAAACTGTAATCCAGAAAATTCAGAGTAGAAATGCGAGAAAGCAAAACCAACTCACCGGTATTGTCAGTCCGTGCTCAGTGATTTGTGCAGACTATACAAATTGAACACACCCAGTAAAACGTAAACACTAACAATTACAGAGCTCGTGCCCTGTTGTTTGACGTGATGTTATGAAGAATGTCGTTGTTTTTGAATTCTCAGAATATTCATGTAAGTTCAAAATCATTAAATTGAAGTTATTTTTTGAATAAAAATAGACATTTAAAATTGTAAACATTGCAACTGTGTTCAGTCCCCTTTAAGTTTCTTCAAAAGAGAAAAACCAAAGATCGCCGGAATCTAATATCTACGAAAGCCTATTAGGTTCAAACTACGGTAAAAAAAAAATTTAAAAGGCGTTATAACGCCTTTTCAAAAGGCGTTGATACGCGAAAGAAGGCGTAATAACGCCTTTTGAAAAGGCATTATAACGCGGAAAAAGGCGTAATAACGCAAATAAAGGCATAATTATGCCTTTCTAAAGGGCGTTATAACGCGAAAAAAGGCGTAATCACGCCTTTCCAAAAGGCGTTATTACGCCTTTCCAAAAGGCGTTATTACGCCTCACATTTTTCAATACATGACTTACATACACCCTTGGGGCTGATTATTATTAGATTTCCAGGAAAAAAAGATTTTTTAATGTGTAAAATATTTTCAGTGTTAAACCAACTTAGTCCTTCTCTGATGCCAGACACCTCTACCAAGATGCATGGATTTCAGAAATTTGGTTGAAGGCTGATTGCTCATTATACCTATGCAAATAGTTTGCCTGTTTTTTTTCAAGAGGAGAGAAAAATATTTCAAATTTGACATGAATTTTTAATACATGGCTAGCAAAGCCCAAAGCTGGCTCTGCCTATATCCTGGATTTTCAAAAGTAGAGTGTTGACTTCGCTTAATACGCATGCAAACAGCTGTCTGCGAGATGTGCGGGGATATAGAAAATGCTATAATTTATAAAATTAAAACTATAATCTAAATATTGCATAAATAAAGATGGCTTTGGTTCAATCTTTCATATATATATTTTAAAATAACGCCTTTCCCTTTTTGGATATAACTCCTTTTCAAACAGGCCGGTAGTACGAATGCGAGTTGGGGGGGGGGGGGGGACCCCACCTCACTTTTTGGGAGAATAGTCTTGCTATAGTTTAAGTATAAAAAATCATTTATTGATTGCTTGGTCCCTTTTGGAAAGGCGTGATAACGCCTTTTGGAAAGGCACGCCTTTATTTGCGTTATTACGCCTTTTTTCGCGTTATAACGCCTTTAAATTATTTTTTTTTACCGTAGTTTGATCCTAATAGGCTTTCGTAGATATCAAATTGAACCTTGCATGTTACTTGTCATATATTGAAATAAGTAGATTTTTTTCTAACATTTACTCATAAAATAAAAACGCTGAAGGAGGGGGGTGGTGAATGTAAATGGAGGAAAGGAAATATATGAGACTCTATCTATAGCAAGTGGAAATGAACATAGAATGAGGCCGATAGTGCTGATTGAACTGTACGTTAACTAGTAATATTCAAAACGTACTAGACATAAAAATATCTAAATGAAGAAACTAAAATGATTTTTTAAAAATATCCCATTTATAAAAGGTCCAACCCTTGGGTTGCCTGTTATTATAAAACCCTATCTACCTATTTTTTCTCAAAAAATATGAAACAAAAACTGCATGTATGTATAGTCCAATAAGCATTATTTAGAGGATTTGATTCCATTATTGCATTTTTCTTTTAAAAAGATAATGTAAAATCAAGGAACTGTACACAAAATATACACTATATAGCAAAAGTCAACACATTCTCAACAAAAAAAAACCCCCAAATATATTATTGGAAAATATCAATTTCTTTAACTATTGAATTTATGTTTTTATTTTTTGTTTAATTTTTTGATTGTTTCCTTGTTGTTTCTTTCTTTATTGAATTTAAGTTTTGCTTTGTTTCCGTTTTTTCCCCCTGATTTGGAATGTGCTTGTTATATTCCTAATATAAATAATCGAACAGTTAATAAGGGTGTCCTAGCATTATAAGTTGTTCTGAATAGATTGCTAGTATTTTGGAAGTTGCTATTATTGAACTGTAATTGAACTCTACTTAATATGTTGGTAGTGTAATACTGCACTTTTTATTGTAAAAACACACAATTATTATTCATTTAGAATTTAATTTAGCTAAGTTGTTTTTAAGATGTTTCTCTATTACTTTGCAGTTGAAGTATCCTCAGAGTCAGCCATTAGATGGGGAGACAGCCCCCAGAAACGCCCTCATTCTAAAGAAAAGATCAGGGGTCTATCAATATAACCGGGAGATCACCCGGAGGTTTGACCTGACCCCAGGGACATATGTCGTCATTCCAAGTACGTTTAGGCCTCACGAGGAGGCGGAGTTTATGCTCAGGATTTACACAGAGAAAATAATTAGTAGTCTGTAAGTATACTAAGAGTACATTACCTTGTCAGAGAAAAAAAAAATCTGAAAATAAAATGTACATTTAGATTGAAGTGAAAAGTATGTATTTATGAGAAAAATTGAGGCTATACAGAAAACCTCTGCCAAGACACTTTAGACAGGAAAACTTGTTGTAGGAACTATTTTTCTAGCAAAGCTTTTTTATTTGATAATGTCACATGATGACTACCTGGGAACTTTTAACATTCGCGAGTGTCTGTCGTGAAATTCGTTAATATTTCTACACGCGAATAAGAGCTGGAATGGCATTGCATACAAAATTCCGGATTTATGCTGTGATAAAATTTGTGATTCAGATGAATAAATTTCCTCGTAGATTTTATTCATTACGAATTCCTTCCTGTAGAATCTTGTTAATTGATTACAGAATGCGCTCGCTAATTAACTAATAAATATTTCTTGCCTATATTGCAGTGTGTTAGATGAACGCAACGGCGAAGTTAAGGTATGTTAGTTATTACGCGATCGAGGTTTGATTACATTACTAGTATTTAAGTGTTTTAAGTTTTATTTTGAAATACAAATCATGCTAGTTTTCTCACAAAAAAAACTGATAATAAACTTAGTAATCTCTTTCAAATAAATCGGAGGTTGGTTATACATTTATTCATTCGATACTAGACGAGGCTTTCTTCACAAATTCAATTAAATTGCATTATTTTGCATTTATTGTAATTGAAATTGCCACTTGTTTCGAGGAAAAAAACAACTTTAAAAAACCCAGAGGATGACTAAACAGCATTAAATCTTAATGTTTGTAATTGAATACCTTACGCAATACCTATAAGAAATTCCATTCTGATTTTAAAGCCAGAAGCCAAACCTCCGCCAGTAAGGGACGCCTTTCGTGAGTTATTTCTAAAACACGCTGGTGAGGATGGAAAACTGAAAGCTAAGGAGCTGAAGGAATTTATTTTAGAACTATCAAGATCAGGTAGATCAATCAACAAAATCGCACTTTTAGTTTTTTTCCCTTTGTTCCGAATGAGTTTTATCTAGAAATTGTTAGAGAGAAAAGAGTTGTTTTTTTTTTTATTTTACAGAAATAAATGAGCCTTTAAAATTCAGCACAGAAACCTGCAGAAGCCTTATCACAATGATGGATGTATCTTTTTTAAACTTAAAAAGCAGAATGCGTCCTGCATGCTTAGTAATTAACACCAGATGTGAAAGCATCGTGAAAATTTGAGTAAATTGTTTACGTGTTGTTGACTTTGTGTAAGATGTAGAAGCATGCCATATTGTGTTGTTATGTTAGCTTAACTGAACAAAGCGGAATAAATCTGGCGCAATGAGCTATGAGGATTCAGTCAAGATGTGGAAAGAAGTTAAAGGCTATAGAGTATGTATGTTAGTAAAGTTACCTATATGTAAGATAAAGACTATAGAATATAGAGTACGTATGTTAGTTTATTAATGGCGAAGTAAGATAAAAGCTATAGAGTACGTAAGTTAGCTAGTTACAGGAACGTAAGATAAAGGCTGTAGAGTATGTATGTTAGCTAGTTACAGGGAAGTAAGATAAAGGTTTTAGAGTACGCATGTTAACTAGTTACAGGGACGTAAGATAAAGGCTATAGAGTATGTATGTTAGCTAGTTACAGAGACGTAAGATAAAGGCTATAGAGTACGTAAGTTAGCTAGTTACAAGAACGTAAGATATAGGCTATAGAGTACGTATGATAGCTAATTACAGGGACGTAAGATAAAGACTAAAGTGTACATATGTTATCTAGTTACAGGGATGTAAGCAAAGGCGGATCCAGCGCCACCCCACCCCACCCCCTCCCATTGTAATTTTTTTTGAAGTTTTGTTTGTATAACAAGCATTTACCTTCAGTTTAGTACAAAAATTGATAAAATGATACTATTGCCCCCCTCCTCCCCCGTTATGAAATTCCTGGATCCGCCACTGGTAAGATAAAGGCTATAGAGTACGTAAGTTAGCTGTAGTTACAGGGACGTAAGAAAAAGACTTGGTTACAGGGACATAAGATGAAGGCTATGGAGTACGTATATTAGCTAGTTACAGGGACATAAGATGAAGGCTATAGAGGATGTTTCATAGCTAGATACACAAGTACGTATACTTTAGTACAAAGACACTTTTACATAACTACATGTATTAATTAAGTGAAATATACTAGTTTACACGGAACTTACTACATTACAAATATTTATATATCTATGTAAATGCGAATGTTAGTATTTAGTAAGCAAGGTTGTACATATATACTAGTATTTGTACTGACCCCCTTCCCCCACCTTTTCTCCCTTATAAAAAAAAAAGTTTGGTAGAATTATATACATTTCGCATGTCTTTGTTGCGTGAATGTCTGGTCACAGTTTACTGTTTAGAACTGAACCAAACCTAACCACTGTCTAGCGAACTAGTCTTAATTATTTCCAAGTTATTGAATGCTAACATATGGTATCCCTTTTCGTGAATGACTGAACAAATCAGTGTTGTATACACAACAGGTGTGCCATATATACATGTAAATACTTACACAGAGCGTGTAGACTTTAGAATATAGTAATAGATTGACTGATTTTAATCAAAATTGTCTTCCCGTTTAACACTTGACTTCAGTTTTTAAAAAGTCATCCAGAACGGGGAGAATTTCGAAAGCTGACACTTATAACGCCTGGAGAACGATTTTAAGCGGGAAGGTACTATGAAATGCAGTCTGTTGTTTTTCAATTTCATTAATTGCTGCTCATGGAGAGATTTAAGAGAAAACCCCAGATATTATCTATGTCGAAATTCAATAATTTGGTATGTACAGTTGCATAAATGTGATCGCCCGTAATATAAATATACTTCCATATTCTGAAATGCCAGTTATAACCCCTTATATTTTACTAAAACTGATCAAATTTATTTGATCATTGATGTGAGTGTAAAGACGAATTTATTTGATTATTATTTAAAACTATTGACCTCTTCCATTTCTTTAGTCACAGTCTGAATTCTGTCTTTTACACATGTACTATGAATTCTCTGTCTTTTATACATATATTATGCTGCGGAGACCATTATATATCCATTTACTAGAATATTTGTTTCAAAAGTTGACGCATTCAGTAATACACATGTATTACAATTGTTGCAGTCCGTTTTCTGTATACATGTATTTATTAAATATCTTACTTTGCTTATATAAGTCCGTTTTTCATAAATCCCTATCTCTTGATAAATATCAGCTTTGTTTAAGGAACTTTTTTAACAAACCTGTGCACTCCCTCGTGTGAGCCCAATTTCAATAGATATATTAGTTATATACATGAAATATGGACGAACAGTAATCGCTCAAAAGTCCATTGAAACAATACAGCAGAGCAAACACGGACCTCTAAAATCATCAGAGGTGGGATCAGGTTCCATGGAGGAATAAGCACCCCCTGTCGACCGGTCACACCCGCCGTGTGCTCCTTTGTGATGATCGGGCAAACGGCAAAATCCATAGACAATTCAGTGTATAAATAATGGTCTAACAATTAGTATGAAAAATTTCAGCATTCAACTTAATGATAGATTGTATTTGCTGACAAGGTCATTATATCGACCATACAACTTGCGAAATGTTGTCTTCAAGCGAGACTTTGTTTTACCAATTCTAAATAGTCGTCTTAATTGGGAGGAATAAAAGAACCGCAGAAATATATATAATTTTATATTGCATCAGTAATGGCCAATTCCTATAATGTACTACGAGATTAATTCCATTCACTCTGTCACCTTTTTCTGGTTTTGCTGAATCTACCCATTATTATATTTACAGGTCATATCCTACAAGAGCGTATTTCCTTTATCATCTTGTCTATAAACATGTCCACTTTGTTTTTCAATAAGAATTTGCTTGCACTCTGTTTTATACAAGTTTGTTTTATTCTGTTGTGATTGCAGGCTGTTTTCCAACAGTTTGACATAGATGGATCGGGGACGGTGGATACGTATGAACTAGACAAACTATTTAGCACATTAGGTAACAAATATGAAAACTACTCTTATTTTCAAAATCAATACTAATTATTTTAAACCATCAGACAACATCAATCTTTTCCTCCTACTAAAATGTCCCTCATCTGACAGATAAGTTTCTTGGCTTCACGTGTTAAGCTCCCTCTCTAGGTTTCCCTGTGAATAGAATGGTACAAACAGCAATAGTCAGACGGTACGCCGACAGAAACAACAAGATCCGCCTCACAGACTTCATCATAGTCATCTGTAAATTAACCCTCATGTATCGTAAGTATCAAATCTCATTTTTTCCCTTTTTTAAAAAAAAAAATTGATAGCATTTCTATAGAATTGCGCTAGAACATTTCAAGGCTAATATACCGGGTATATTTTAACAATTTGAATTTTAAGATATCATAAGAGCTAGTTTAGTGTTAAATTTATAGTAGCTTATCTATTAGCATTATTATAAAGGACGAAACAAGTACAAAATGAAGTAAAACGATTTTTTTTTCTTCAGAAATATACAAGGATCAGCAAATTAAAACAGGCAGCCCTGATTCTGCTTCTTTCACTATGAACGAGGTACGTAGTATAATAACTCGAACACGGTGCAGAAAAGTGGGTCACATTCATCTTGTACTGTATATAAGTTCTACCCTACTGTCTTTGCAGTTCCTTTATTATACAATGTACTGCTGAGCCTTGTTCAACATGGCGGATATGACAGACGTGCCAACCTGTGTTCACATTATTTTCCATTTCCCTGGAAAGAACTACATTAAATTATACATGTATCTACTTGTAGTCCCTTAGGAGAAAGTCTAATACGTGATGCAATATTTCAGTACTACCTGAGAGGCAAACTTTTTTGTTATATATTTTATACATATTTGCATTGTGTTTTAATAAAGAGTTTAATTTGTAATTTACTTCATTTTTTATCATAAAAAAGGTACACTTGGGGTCTGTTCTTCTTCAAATCAAGATGTTCTTATAAAACGTCAGAACTGTTTTACTGCAAATAAACACAGGTACTTGTCGACATGACAACCCCCCCCCCCCCCCGGGGGGGGTCAAAAAATATTTTTATGTCTTTTTTTTCATAAATTATTTTTCTAGTACACATTTACAATGTATTCCATAAGAAAAATCCAAAAAATAACGCAGAATTAACGTCTTACTAAAAAAATCATACCCTCGGTATTATAAGACAGAGTCTTGTAGCATTTTTTTACGTTTGACGATGAATACTCGGATTATTATGGAATGCCTGGCCAATAGCACGATTAAAGACAAAAATATCTACCGTAACAAGATATCATGACACATTTTGGTGACATGTATTAGGTAAATGATATTTCGGGCCTGATATCCAAGAGGGGTCCAGTGTAAACAAATGTTACCTTCTCTATTTTATAATACCGAGGGTATGATTTTTTAGTAAAACGTTAATTCTGCGTTTTTTTTTTTTTTTTTTTTTTTTTTTTGGATTTTTCTTATGGAATATATTGTAAATGTGTACTAATAAAGTTTGATATAGCATATAATACTAAATGGTCGACATATTTCCATTAGAATGAGCGATTTTCATAGATTTTTTCGATTCATGGTAACATGAAATTTATATTTCATAAAAAGACTCAAGCATGACAATCTTATTGAAATCTTCAAGAGAAATAATCATCACTATTCGTAGTTGTCCATTCTATATAAATTCTCAAAATTGCTAGAAATATCCAAATTCATCTGTATTTTTTTCAGATTTTAGTCATGTGACCCAAGCTATTAGTTTGTAATTCAGGCCTAACCTGGAAGCCACTAGTCAATGCTAGAATGTCTCCCAGACTGGTTATCCCTACAACATGAAGTAATATGATACTTCTGTAGGCAAATACCGATCACGGAAGCCTAGTGGTAGGGCGCTCGCTTCGTGATCGGGAGGCCCGGGTTCGATTCTCGTTCGCCGCGCCGCGTTAAACCTAGGACTTAAACATAGGTAGTGACTGTTCCTTCGCCAAGCGCCCGACACTAGAAGGGTTTTTTTGGATGAGACCTTAAAAACCGAGATCCTGTGTCACGGGAGGCGTTGGCACGATAAAGAACCCTCACTGCTAATGGCCCTAAGTGCCGAGTATAGGTCTAAATTTGAAGCCCTTCACTGGCATACGATGACGTCTCTATATGAATGAAAAATTCTCGAATGGGACGTTAAACAGCATACAATCAATCAATCTGTAGGCATATGGTGTGTATTAGACTTGTACCATGGTTTTATATAAAAATTGCTGTATGGATGTAGCAGTATGTACATGTACATGTCAATCTTAAAATGTGGAGATGTTGGGGTCGTGATGTTGTGTTAATTTTTGTTAGTTTATTTGAGTGGTCCTTTTTGTTTCACTTAGCTGAGTAAAAGGACTATATGTTTTTGTGTTAAATCTCATGACTGGTAGACATTCATACTAATACATGCACATACAATTGTATCATTGTAGGTTCTAGTAAATGCTCTACAAAACCTCTTTCTTTACTCCAATCTAATTAAAATTAGATCTTTGATCCGCTCCAACTAGATCGCTACTGTGTAGCGATCTAGTTGGAGCGGATCAAAGATCTAATTTTAATTAGATTGTCTTTACTCCTTACGAAAATAATAATAGCACTTCAGGAGTACTGTACAACACAGAGAATTTTTTCCGGGGGGAGAGGGAGGATGTCCACATCAACAGTAACAAACGTTAAACTCGGATTTCTTTTTTTATTTTTGACAAGCACGAAAAAAACAAAACAAAATGAAACAAATAAAAAAGTAATAATTATGATAATAGTAATAACTTAACAACTTGCCCAAACCTGAAAATCCTATTTCTATTTCGATGGGGGGTGGGGTGTGGGGTGGAGGAGACGACGGTTTCCAAAGTCAATTTTCCTCTGAAAGATGACTCTTCGGGGTCCATGTTTCATCGGAGGGTCCAAGGTGAATTTTTTTCCCCGTTACTTTTACATAGAAATTAGATTACTGTGAAAATTCAAAGTAGGGGCGGGGTATGGAAGCCAGCAAAAGATACATTTATAACCAAAAAATTATAGAGGTAAAACATTTATTGACTGTGTTCTCGGGCAAAATGCGTTTTGTTGACCCCTCGAACCAAACTGTTTGCCTTCGGCCTAACGGCCTCAGGCAAAGAAACAGTTTGGTTCTTGGAACCAAAAAACGCATGTTGCCCTCGAACCCAGTCAATGAATGTATAATGTTGTCTTTAGTATGTTCGTTAATTCGTGAAATAAAAACTATGCTTAATGTTTGCAATTTTCTGTGTTCTAGGTTGAAATACGAGAACAGTAATTTTTGACGAATGCCGCTTGCTAAAACGTATTTATTTCTTAAGATACAATCATAATTTTTACACATATAGTCAGGAGTTTAGATATCATTTTGTCTACCAAATACATAATAAACTTGATTTTCTAGAATAGTGAGAGTTAAAGACTGACCGCACAAATGCACTTTTCCTCTTCTTTTTTTTTTTATCCTGATCGACGTAAAGAGCACTCAGAAGTCTCCAAGAATATATTTGTTGGTTCAACATCTTTCGATATTGTGACGCCACCTCTTGCCGGTGGAGGACTGCAAAAGACCTGTACTCGGCACATATATCAGCACCTACTGCTACACGGGACCTTGGTATATACATATCCGCGTCACACAATGTATTCGAACCCGCGACGTAAGGGTCAACTCCTTATTCTGCGAATCTTAGAGCAAACGCTCTAACCCATGCGGGCGACCCCAAGAATATGGAAAGAAAGCTACCGCGCCTGCTCAACCAAATAACTATCCTATTAATCATTTTAATTAAGCATCTAAAGTCACACAAAAGAAAAGAAGTATAGATTCATTTTTTTAAAGAAGTCTTCCACCTCGTGATATTGCAGTGATCGAGACTGGAGGCAGAGACCCGAGACAGATTTTTTTTTCCAGGTCGGTCGCTAAGGGGGGTTAAAAATTGAATGAAAAAATAAACAAACATGAAATTCGCTTCAGGCAGGTATAGCACACATACAATAACATAAGTTTTCCCCCGGGAATATGAATGTCTGTGAATATTACATACTGATATTTATATGCTCATGAACACAACATATGACGACATAAAAATTAGAATCGGAAGTGAATTAATCTCAGTAAACAAGTAAACAAAGCACCTGACCGGATGCTTTGTTTTTGGACATTTGCATATATATATGAGAAAAATAGTCTCTGTGAACACAACACCAGTTGACCATCACCAACCATTAACATTTTTTAACAATGGATAAAAAGAAAGGCAAAAAAGACGCAGTGTGAGTTTCTGTCTCCCTTCATCGAATACGCAGTCAAATTATATATTTTTTAAAGAAGAACACCTATCGTGAGATTCACTTGATAGTTGCTCTACGATTATGGAGAACTTTTTTTTTAATCGGTCAATAGTAACTGATATTAATTTTAAATATATTTAGTTTTCTAAATGCTGTAAATAATTCATTATATATTACAAAGAAGTTTTCTTCCCGCGTAATTATCCGTCTACCCAAACCGTCCCCTCGCGAAAATTATATTCTTGCATATATATTAATTTTGTATTTTAAAAAAAATCATACACAACAAAAACCAATATTCGAGGAATCTTAGTCTTCTTTATTAATACCAAATTACTTTCCTTGGTGGCGGGAAAAATTGGTAATCTACAATATATTGAACGAATCGAGCGCAAAACTTTTTGGACTGTCTTTCCTCACATGTTAATGATTTCAAAAAAAAAATACAGCCTCCGTAGGTTATTAGGATGTATTATTGTAAAATAATTCACGAAAATATAATTCACAAGGACTTATCTCGCTCTCAATTTTACTATAAATAAAACTTCAATTCTCTGTTATATCATATAATATCCATGTAATATTATATATATATATATATATATATATATATATATATATATATATATATATATATATATATATATATATATATATATATATATATATATATATATATATAATTTTCATTTTCGACAGCCACAGCCAAAGTAGCGGTGGTTCAAACCACAGGTAAGATATTTGTTTCTCTTTATTTTCTCTTATACATTGTAAATGCAAACAATTGCTTTTTGTCAATAAAAATCAAATGAAATTTAATGGAATGATTTATTTCGGCGTTTTTTTTCCAACGTTTACCTTAAAGAAAGACAGCATATTAGAAACTTTTTATATCCCTTGTTTGTATTGAGCCAAGGATGCAGCCTTAAGGCTAAAGACTCTCAATTATTATTATTATTATTATTATTATTATTATTATTATTTTGCTTGAGCAGAGATTGTTTAGATTTAATGCCTTTAATTAATAATATGTATATGTTTTGAATGCTGAAAATCACAAAGGAGAAATAAATTCGCAAACATAAATATATCTTACCACTTTGAATTATGTCCTAACAATTACAGTGGTGGCAGCCATCAAGGCGGTGGGTCTCACGGCAGTAGCTCTTCGCACGGGTGAGCTGTTACTTAATAATACATTCACTTTAGAAACGTACACATAAAAGTACTTAAAATACCTTTAAAAATTCCTTCTTTCCGAAGCACAAGAGGAATATTTTAAAGGTCTTTAATTAATTTTTTTTATCAATTATTCAATTAAAGAATTGGTATTTGAAGAATACATTATGATATTTTATTATAACTTTAAACTGGTATCTTTAAAAAACAGAGGTCATGACCCTGTGCCACCATCTCCTTCTTCTAGGTAAGTTAAATAATATGAGTGAATTGATAACATACAAGCAGACAGTTTTACGAAAATTAAAAGAATGTACGAAGTACTAGTATTCTGTCACATTTTGCA